AATTCACATGAGTTTTAGATTCCCATGAGTTATAGATTCACATGATTAATAGATTCACATTATTCATATATTCACATGAGTTATAGATTCACATGATTCATATGATTCATAGATTCACATTATCCATAGATTCACATGGTTCATAGATTCACATAATTCATAGATTCACATAATTCATAAATTCACATGAGTTATAGATTCACATAATTCATAGATTCATATAATTCATAGATTCATATGATTCACAGATTCAAATGAAGCAGGAATGTTTGGTAGGACTGTGTATTTGGTGAAGTGAAAGGACATAAAGGTGAACAAACAGTGATGATGTGAGGTGATCCTGTTAAACACCTCTCATGACAAGCGTAGACGCCTCTTATGACAAGCATAGATGCCTCTTATGACAAGCATGGGCTGCTGAAGACCTATTCTGACCTTCACAGGTCCGCAGTCATGACTGCTCTCAAAGTTCAAATACATCAACAACCCCACCGACACCCTGGCCCTTAGCGAGTGCCAGGCCCTGAGTGAAAGTGAAAAGTGATGTTTGCATGAGCTGTTCACCGTGAATTCTGATATGGTATCAGTTGAACTTGAGCATGTGTCTGTACTCTAAAACAAATAGGGCCCGTGACAGTGCTTTATTTTTATAAAAAGGAACAGTCACGAGAACACTAGGGCTCGGTTTTGCCGTTGTTCTCGCAACTGTACCTTTGTGAATGTTTGCATCACAGTAAAGTAGTCAGTCCTCCTCTGTCATGTGTATCTATTTCCTTGTTGTTTCCTGTTCTTTAATGTTCCTCATGAACATAGAGGTCCCTGACACGCAACATGCACAGAGGAAGTCATCCCGGTGGGGATGCAGGGTTAGAACAGATCCCCTATGCTAAGGACTAATTAATGGTTACCAGGTCTTGGTTGATTGTGTGTCACTGCACCCTGATGGCTTGGATTGTCGTTCACAACATCGGTCACTGGATTGTCTGGTCCAGACTATTATTTACAAGGTGGTTAATTAATAATCAAGACAAAGTTTGCTGGTTGTAAGAGGTGACAAAGAGGTTTAGGTGGTCTGGCTAGGTGGCGTATCGTTGTAGAAGTTGATGGATGACTTGACAGTCTTGCTTGACAACAGTATAAAGATCTATACCAAAACGTCGCCTTTACAGTAATTAAAGAAGTTGTTATCCATAAAATTGTGTCTACTTTGTGTGGTAAGTTCATCAACAGGTTGTCGCCAAACTTTCCAGACACAATTAAGGCTATTGTTAGCCACTCACAATAATTACATAGCGCAAAACTTTCCAGATTTACCGTAATTGATAGAGGAGAACATTTACTGAGATTAATCCACATTTGCCTATATATTTGGAGAATGCTTTTATTGGGTTGGGTAATTGTTGATTGGGGGAAGTGATGGTAGTCTTGTAGCATGCTGGGAGTGGTTGATAGCATGAGTAAACATCCACACTGCTGGGACGTGATGACTGACTAAATTATGATATGGTAATGTAGGTTTTGGCCGTCAATGTTACACCTTCATCAAGAGTATGGTCATGGCCAAACATGTCCCATAACTGTGACCATGCCATGTCGTCTTTGCTTTCGTCCAGTGATTGTCATCTTGTCAGCTGATGGTAGGAAATTGATTTGGTTAAAGCTGTTTTCAAATGTTGGTTAATTTCAACTGAAAGCACACATGACAAGCAGCATTAACCTTATCTGTCAGTCAGTGTGTGGTAGCCATATACATACACTTTAGGGTTAAACTCCATACAAAAACAACAAGGTTTTCTTGATGACAGAAAACAAAGGCTTGGTAGTAATTGACCTGGCTGCTTTTGCACACCAGGGTTAACTATGTCAACTTAAGCAGTCACGGAAATATTAGGAAACGATTGTGTCCTTTCATTGCTATATCATTAGTATATGGGAGCTCATTTTCATGTTTCCAAAATAGGTTAAACATTTTTTTATCCAACTTAACTTGGAAGAGATTGGTAAACAGGCCGAACTGGCTTATGTAAATACCGCTCCGTGTTACGTTTATGTTCCTGAAATATCAGTTCAATAACAATAGCCCTTACGGGGGAATGATTGTTGGGACCTGTAAGATGATGCAGAGGACACTGTATGACCCACACCAGATATTAACGATTTGGATGTTTTCTAAGTCTGAAGGGTAGTAACATGAATACCGTATTCGACCCAATAAGCGCCCATGTCCCAATAAACGCCCCCCCCCCCCCCCCCTTTTCCCCGGATGCCCAAGTAAGATTTACTCACCTGTTTTTTACATACGGTCAAGAATCTTTTGTAGTCGGTTAATGAGGAGATGTTCACCAGTAAAACGTAAGTAACAGTTTATCTCTAGCCCCCCAGCAACAGAAGAATATCGATAGGCTTACTGATGAATTTACGCCAATTTGACTCTGAATTGGTCCCAATAAGCGCCCACCCCTTCTGTCTTTATTTTAAGCGCCCTGGGCACCTATTGGGTCGAATACGGTAATGCTATGATATATGCAATAGCCTCAGGTCACAGTATCCCAGTGGATGACTTTTATACAATTATACACAGTGTATACAACTATGTTGTCAATTTTTTTTAAAAAGCGGGTCCCTTGTTGGTTATGACCGATTGTATCACAGAACTTGCAAGGCAGTTGGTTTGCCAAGTAAACAGGTGTAGGACATAAAAGGTATACAGGTAGGGGCCGTCACATAGCAGAAAAGGGGAGAAAACAATATACTAGATACTGTACTTTTGATGAAGGGGTCATTTGAAAGGGCATAAACGTAAAATCCTCTGACTTGTAAAATGCTTCAGGCTGAAATTCAAGTTTCTATTAACATATTGTCCAATTCTGTACTAGTACTTGCCTTACCCATGTTTGCTGGGACGGGTAACTCGGGTACTCGGGTTGGGTGGGTACTGAGAAGGACCCGGGTACCCACAGAACTACCTGGATCCGTGGTTGGTCATGTGATATATTGTTGAATGACAAAAATGATCTTGAACTATATGGTTACACTACAAATCACTAATATTCACATTTCTTTCTGACCATGCACCCAGACTTGTATATGTTTGAATAAAGATAAAACGGGTACCTGGGTAGGGTCAGGTAATAGGTGGGTAGGTACACGGGTAGTAAATTTGCACTCGTCCCAGCCCTTGTAGAAATATGTCAATAGTGGTGACAATTCGGCAAAGATTAGAGACAAATATTCCATCTTCACTATGAGGTCAACCTTTTTCCATACTGTCTAAGAATTTAAAAACGGTTAGTGTACTTTGATGAAATGCGGTTAAACAAGAATCAGGCTACATACTATATATGCCTACCATTTGAGGGCCAACAAGCAATCACCCCTGTACTGCCATCTGGCAAAGAGAAAAATGTCATCCTTCTGCCAATGCTAAAGGTGTAATAGACAGCAGTGAAGAGCTATGTCTTTGAGGCCAAATAATCAGAGGGCGATTACCACAGAGAAATGAATGGAAAGGTATTCCTAAGATGGTTTGAAATGAGGTTCTTCCTCGGCTAGACGGCCCAAGCATGATGGTGATGGATAGTGTGAATTACCATAACATCTGGGAACACAAAACTATAACCCCAACGACAAGCAGTTTGAAAGCCACATTGCAAGAATACCTTACCCTGTTACAACTCACAATGTTCATTTCAAACCAAGTGAGACAATGGTGCAACTGATGGAGAAAATCAGAGTAAATGAAACTCCTGTATCGAATAACACAGACCATCTTCCCCACGCAAGCTTGTCCACTAGTCTATATCAAAGCCTTAAGTTTCTACCCTTTGCCACATGAAGGCCACTTTTCTTGGCTCGACCTTGGCACCACTTTGCGTAGATCACGCGTTGTGCCCCTTGTCATGAAAACATGATATCCAATCAGATCGCTGTCCTTATCTTGTATAGCTTCACAAAAATGGAGACTAGTCCTAGTCAATCAGATAATGAAAACAGGCGTGATTTCATCACTGACACAAAAACATAGGCAATTGTTGGGGGTTTTAAAAGATGAAAAAGACATATTCGTGTCAGCAAAGAATCATTTTCATACAAATATGTACCAGGCGTGGATGTTGATTTTGTTCTGTGATTGAACCATCGATATGTGCGATAGTCCAATCATATTCAGCACAGGAAAGTGGGCTTGATGTGGCAAGGGTGGAAACAGGACTTTGATAATAATGCAAGTGGACGCTCTTGCCTCGGGAAGATAAGGACAGACAACCTTGACTCACTTTGTGATCCAAGTTTTTGTACGTACTACTGTCCAACACTGCAAGTTAAACCCAACTGAGCTGATCTGGTCCAACTGCAAAGGTTTTGTGGCCACATTCAACACAATTTGTACAGTATCTGTTGTGAAAGATATTACATATGCATCATTTCCGGTGATAACACAAGAAGTTTGGAAAATGCACAAGACCATGTGATATAGGGCAGGAATACCGTCAGCAGGAAGGGGTTGACATCCAACCTTGTTTTTGTTCACTTATGGGATAGTTCCAACTCAAGTTCCGAGGAATGTGACTAAATTCTTGTGACACGACCCGTGTCCTTGTGCTACCAGCCACATGTGCATGCACCTGGGCAGGTGAGAGAAGAGAATGTTACCATGGTTACAGTCTGTTTTGAATTTGTCATTATTTGTATTAAGTTTGTGTATTTTTCAGATGTAAATATCTCCAAAGTATCAATAACACTATGCTTGTGCAAATGACATAAACTGACCAGTAGCACAACCCCACTGAAACTGACCTGAAGTTACTTCATGCTTGAGTGTAAATGAAAACCATCATGAAATATCATAGATCTATCATCAGTTCATGATTATCATCAATAAATTATGTTGGTTTTCCCTCCCTAGAAATTGCATGTTTTTTCACAATCTTGAACTATTTTAGCATGTTTAGTTATCTCTCCCCGAATTTCTCTGTTATTCTCAACTGTACTTTTATTTCCAGCGATGACATCTAAAGGCAAAAGTAGAGCAGCATTGCCGCCTCCTGGTGGCAGACAGTCAGATGTAAGTTGTTTCACAAAGTCACTGTATTCCTCCATCACCCGTCAGATGTAAGTTGTTTCACAAAGTCACTATTCCTCCATCACCCGTCAGATGTAAGTCGTTTCACAAAGTCACTATTCCTCCATCACCCGTCAGATGTAAGTTGTTTCACAAAGTCACTGTATTCCTCCATCACCCGTCAGATGTAAGTTGTTTCACAAAGTCACTATTCCTCCATCACCCGTCAGATGTAAGTTGTTTCACAAAGTCACTGTATTCCTCCATCACCCGTCAGATGTAAGTTGTTTCACAAAGTCACTATTCCTCCATCACCCGTCAGATGTAAGTTGTTTCATAAAGTCACTATTCCTCCATCACCCGTCAGATGTAAGTTGTTTCACAAAGTCACTATTCCTCCATCACCCGTCAGATGTAAGTCGTTTCACAAAGTCACTATTCCTCCATCACCCGTCAGATGTAAGTTGTTTCACAAAGTCACTATTCCTCCATCACCCGTCAGATGTAAGTCGTTTCACAAAGTCACTATTCCTCCATCACCCGTCAGATGTAAGTTGTTTCACAAAGTTACTGTATTCCTCCATCACCCGTCAGATGTAAGTTGTTTCACAAAGTCACTATTCCTCCATCACCCGTCAGATGTAAGTTGTTTCACAAAGTCACTATTCCTCCATCACCCGTCAGATGTAAGTCGTTTCACAAAGTCACTATTCCTCCATCACCCGTGAATACATACGACCGTTTGGCAGTGTGGTTGCTAGGCGTAACCAGCGAATCAAGGCCTGGCCTGGTTCTAGTGGGAGGGGAGCCAGTGAGTTGTCTGACCAATCAGCACTCAGGTTACATCAGACAGTTTTGATTGTCGACATGTCTTGTGCAACGTGTTACAGGCTTGCTACTATTCTACTTGGCATGTTACTTCTGTAACTGGCAACATAATTTCAAGCGCAGAGTTAGACACATTTTATTTCATCGAGTTATGCAGCCTGAATTCATTGCCTGACTGAAAACAAACACATGTCACTACTACACTGCATTTTGGCAGTGTGTATTCACGAGCAAGGAGGACTGTAGTGTCCACAAACCTGCTAAAACAGGCTTACACCTAGTTAAAACAGGCCAATACAGTGTAAAGACAGGCTAACACAGAGTTATGGAAATTGATCCCTCAAAAAGCTGCATAAGCGACATGTTTTAAATTCATTAGAGCATGTTAGCATTTTAAAATATATACAGGTGTGTGGAAAATCAATGCCTCACTTGCCCGACTCGTTACGTGAGATTGCCGGACAAGCAAAAAAATACTTCAGTTGTCCATGTACACCATTAAAATTTAGAAGACCTTACTCAATTTTGATAAAATATTCGTAACAAGTACTGAATACAACTTTGTAAACGTTAAAACATTGTGAGGAAAACAAGTCCAACTAAAGGCTGTGTATTGCTTCCTTCCTTGTTCTTTGATGATTCTTTAGGACACATGTTTTGATTGGTTGATCCAGGTACCAAGTTGCCAATAGAGGGACATTATTGTAAGAAGTAGCAGGTAGCACTTGTGGCTCAAAAAAGCATGGAAATATGAAGACTGATCCATCAATGTCAAAACAAAACTGCCGACGCGGGCAGTAAAATACTAATTTTGTGGTAAAAACACCATCTTTGGTTAATAATCTGGACAAGAAAACTTTGTCTACGGAAAAATTATGTTTGACTGTTTGATTGTCCGGGGACAGTTCACAATCTCGGTATTTCCACACCTGTGTTATATCGGCCATGTACATGTGAATTTTGTCACCCAAAGTGTTCCATAGCAGGCTTAATTTATTCATATCTGGTGTTTAATACCATGCACATGTCTTATTGCTTTACATGTATTTAATAATAACGCCCAATAATAATCATCATAATCATGATTATTAATGACAAGTCTGCATTTGCAATGCAGCATGGGATAGCTACCATTTGTAGAGGTCAGTATTCCGATGCTGCAAATCTGCAAACTTGACCACTTGCCAACATCTGCAGTTCTCTTCTCTACTATTGCTTTGATTACTGATAAAATCATAATATTTTGTAATAACTCGTCAGCATTATTTAATTAATGATTTAACTCCACATCTATGTTTCTGTCCCCTAGGCGCCACCACTCCCAGCTCGCAGGGCGGTACCGCCTCCTCCACAGGTGGGATATGGTTTATGATCTCACAGCTCCAGATAAGCTGAAAATATAAAATAAAGGACTAAATGAGTTGCTTGCATACAAATATGGCAAAAGAAAATTGTTTCTCAGGGAAAGGTTTTTTGAAAATATGAATTATTTAATAAGTAAACAGTTGTTTACAATCAACCTTGGAAAGTGGGAAAGGGTTTCCCCCGATATAAATGTAGTCCTTGGTGAATAAAATTCTGACATCTCCTTTCGTCAGATTTGAAGCAGCTAGTGGCGGCCACCTTGGTAACGCTTTAAGCAGGAAGACCAAGCTTTTGTACCATTGTAAATCACAGAACTCAACTTCACTGAATCTTCATGTTATCCAGTGTATGCTTTGTTTACCAACCAGTTAACCAGCTTAATTTGTGTGCATAAATAGCTGATATGTCTTTTCACAATTACCTTTACCTCATTTTTTCAATGTCATTTGAATTAGGATTAATTTCTTAAAATAATTTTACAATGTCTCCACAAAGCAATGATTATGAGACTTGTGACCATGAAAACATCTTAAAATAACACAAAATATGCATATAGATTTGGAGGTAATGCTTTTCATATCAAACATATATTAAAGTGAAATAACAAAAATAAAAGGGTACTCTGGAATATATTCCTACCATATTTTCTTGTGTGTAGTGCAGACTTTTTACCAAAGTGGTAAGCATCTGAAAATACCTGTGCTCGTGGGTGTTACCAAAGTGGTAAGCATCTGAAAATACCCGTGCTCGTGGGTGTTACCAAAGCGGTAAGCATCTGAATATACCCGTGCTCGTGGGTGTTACCAAAGCGGTAAGCATCTGAAAATACCCGTGCTTGTGGGTGTTACCAAAGCGGTAAGCATCTGAGAGCATTCCTCCCACATCAAACTGACATGGCATGATATAACGGGAAGACAATTCGAAGCGGATAAACGCAACTCATTCACATACAAGAAAATGTATTTTGAAAAAAATCGATATAAATCAAATTAATTTATTATAGCCTTTACTGTTGGAGTACTAAACTATTTGAAAACAAGCATGATTGTAATAATTATGACAATAACCTTGGTAACATGGTCCTACTAATAACAGTGATAATAGCAGCCCTGGTAATAATTCTCACAATAATATTTTCTCTTTATGTGGATTTATGTCAGTTCCTTACACGGACCCTTGTAAAGTGAATGTAAAGCAAATGTAAAGTGAATGTTAAGGGGATGTAAAGCAAATGTGAATGCAAAGGGAATGTAAAGGGAATGCAAAGGGAATGTAGAGTGAATGGGAAAGGAATGTAAAGGGAATGCAAAGTGAATGTAAAGGGAATGTAAAGTGAATGCAAAGGGAATGTAAAGTGAATGCAAAGGGAATGTAGAGGGAATGTAAAGGTAATGTAAAGCAAATGTAAAGGGAATGTAAAGCAAATGTAAAGTGAATGTAAAGTGAATGCAAAGGGAATGTAAAGTGAATGCAAAAGGAATGTAAAGGGAATGTAAAGTGAATGTAAAGGGAATTTTAAGCAAATGTAAGGGGAATGTAAAGAAATTGTAAAGCAAATGTAAAGGTAATGTAAAGCAAATGTAAAGTGAATGTAAAGTAAATGTAAAGCCAATGTAAGTGAATGTAAAGCCAATGTAAATGCCATGTAAAATGAATGTAGAGTAAAGGTAAAGTGAATGTAAAGCCAATGTAAAGTGAATATAAAGCCAATGTAAAGTGAATGTAAAGTAAATGTAAAGCAAATGTAAAGGGAATGTAAAGCAAATGTAAAGGGAATGTAAAGTGAATGCAAAGGGAATGTAAAGCAAATGTAAAGGGGATGTAAAGCAAATGTAAAGTGAATGTAAAGCAAATGTAAAGGGAATGTAAAGTGAATGCAAAGGGAATGTAGAGTAAAGGTAAAGGGAATGTAAAGCCAATGTAAAGGTAATGTAAAGGGAATGTAAAGCAAATGTAAAGTGAATGTAAAGTGAATGCAAAGGGAATGTAAAGCAAATGTAAAGGGGATGTAACGCAAATGTAAAGTGAATGTAAAGCCAATGTAAAGTGAATGTAAAGTAAATGTAAAGCAAATGTAAAGGTAATGTAAAGCAAATGTAAAGGGAATGTAAAGGGAATGTAAAGTGAATGCAAAGGGAATGTAAAGGGAATGTAAAGCGAATGTAAAGGGGATGTAAAGCGAATGTAAAGTGAATGTAAAGCCGATGTAAAGGGGATGTAAAGCGAATGTAAAGTGAATGTAAAGGGAATGCAAAGGGAATGTAAAGTGAATGCGAAAGGAATGTAAAGTGAATGTAAAGTGAATGTGAAAGGAATATAAAGGTAATGTAAAGCAAATGTAAAGGGGATGTAAAGCAAATGTAAAGGGAATGTAAAGGTAATGTAAAGGGAATGTAAAGCAAATGTAAAGGGGATGTAAAGCAAATGTAAAGTGAATGTAAAGGGAATGTAAAGTGAATGCAAAGGGAATGTAAAGTGAATGCAAAAGGTAATGTAAAGTGAATGTAAAGTGAATGTAAAGCAAATGTAAAGGGGATGTAAAGCAAATGTAAAGTGAATGTAAAGGGAATGCAAAGTTAATGTAAAGTGAATGTAAAAGGGAATGTTAAGTAAATGTAAAGTGAATGTAAAGGGGATGTAAAGCAAATGTAAAGTGAATGTAAAGCCAATGGAAATGCCATGTAAAATGAATGTAGAGTAAAGGTAAAGTGAGTGTAAAGCCAATGTAAAGTGAATGTAAAGTAAATGTAAAGCAAATGTAAAGGGAATGTAAAACAAATGTAAAGCAAATGTGAAGGGAATGTTAAGTGAATGTTAAGTGAATGTAAAGGGAATGTAAAGCCAGTGTACAGCGAATGTAAAGGGAATGAAAAGTCAATGTTAAGTGAAAGTAAAATATAGGTAAAGCAAATGTGAAGGGAATGTAAAGCAAATGTGAAGGGAATGTAAAGTGAATGTAAAGTGAATGTAAAGCAAATGTGAAGGGACTGTAAAGTGAATGTAAAGCCAATGTAAAGTGAATGTAAAGCCAATGTAAAATGAATGAAAAGGGAATGTGAAGTGAATGTAAAGCAAATGTAAAGTGAATCTAAAGCAAATGTAAAGCAAATGTGAAGTGAATGTAAAGTGAATGTAAAGCAAATGTAAAGGGAATGTAAAGCAAATGTAAAGCGAATGTAAAATGAATGTAAGGCAAATGTAAAGCTTTCCCTAAACTAGTGTCATGTGTTAACTGTTTTTTGTTTAACTTTTTCAGCCAAATGCAGCAGAAGAGGTAAGTAAAACACAGCTGTGTATTTTGCAGCAATACAAATTTGAAAAATGACATGTTTTGTCATGACATTAGAGTCTTTTTGGAGAGATTATTTATTTATCCATCCTTGTTGTATTTGCATAAATCAATTTTGTTCCTTGTAAGTAGGATCAAGTTCAACGTTGCCGATCAATTCATGCATGAGTGAAGCAGTGTAGGCTGAAGACCCACTACTTCCATTGCAAATAATGCCAGCACATATTTTGCAGAATTTAGTTCATTATGCATGCAACATTTCTTCACGAGAAATGCATGGTCAGCACAATGCATGCTCAGCTACTATTTCTTTGTTAATAAATGCATGAAGAATAATATGTGTATATTGTGCTAGCCTTAATCCAGGACTGTTAGACAGGGAGTACTGTTTTTTTAGCTCACCCAACGAAAAGTCATGTGACCTTATGTTGTGGCACATTGTCTTTTGTGTGGTTGTCTGTTTGTTGTTAATTTTAATTTTCAACATCTCTTCTGAAAGGTCTATGGCCTGTTTGTAAAACTTGCTGTCAGAATTCCCATCTGACTTTACATTACTAGGCTATTTCTGTGTGTATGACCATGAACGTATGTGATTTGCTGAATAACATATGTTGGGATTTGGTCCTATTTTAATCCCAGCTATGTTGTATCTAAAAACTGAACACACAATTCCAATCAGGTAAACATGGTGGCAATTTTTTCTTCATAATTCATATGAGCTACAGAAACTTGTGGCTTTTTAAAAAATCCTTTTTTACCTTGTTGAAAATAGCATTGCTGAATTGTCAGCATTAGAACCATTGTCTTGTTGATGTAGGTACTCGTTTACAGTGCTTAGAATGCTTTTTATTCATACTACATTGACATTTTGTCACTTTTTATTGGTTTTCATAAAAATGGATTGGAAAGTTCGAATAAGTGAAAAAAAAAAGAATATTCTTATCATGCAAGATAAAAAGCTTAAAACAACATTATTTTGATAAACTAATAAACAATATACATATGCTATTGTTCATAATGTATTCATACAAGGTAGTTGTTCATTGATACGGAATATTGCTAAAAGCAGTGTAAAAATGAACTAACTCACTCATTGATACATAAAATTGGAGCAGTTTCATAAAAAACATGAATTTTATACTCAAAATATTTTTTGTCAAAGGTGACCTGTCAGACAGGATATGATAATGTTGCTTTAGTTACTTCTTATTTGGCCTCCAAAGCATGTTAAACATTTTCAGTTATTTCAATAAGAACAGCATTTTCTAGTTTTCATCAAATAAAGTGTCAAGTTGAGGAAGAAAGAATGATTGTCCAAGTTTTCCTTTCTGTCCCTGCTCATCCTAGACTGGCCTGATCAAGTGACGACAATTCAGAATTATCTTAGGTGTTGCATTGTTATTGTCATTTGGTCCATAGCTTTAGATACACAATGCTGTGCAGTGTCAGTAACCTTGAATAAATTATGTGGGGAATTATTTCCTGCTTCCATCTGAAGAGTAAACTTGATAGTCTGGCTGGAGTGTGATAGATGGTAGACAGTGTCATCCTGCCTGGCATTTATGGTGTACCACTCCTTGTCAGCATCAGGAGAATACTGTCTACACTGGGAGAGATGTCGGATCAGGTCAGTAGCTCAGGGCTTTGTGGTAGCTGCAGGTCTTGGTACTTAGGAATGTTGTATCTATGTAGTGGTTCACTAGTTCACAAGTTCCGTAGCTCAGGGCTTTGTGGTAGCTGCAGGTCTTGGTAGCTTAGGAATCTTGTATCTATGTAGTGGTTCACTAGTTCTGTAGCTCAGGGCTTTGTGGTAGCTGCAGATCTTGGTAGCCTAGGAATCTTGTATCTATGTAGTGGTTCACTAGTTCTGTAGCTCAAGGCTTTGTGGTAGCTGCAGATCTTGGTAGCTTAGGAATCTTGTATCTATATAGTGGTTCACTAGTTCTGTAGCTCAGGGCTTTGTGGTAGCTGCAGATCTTGGTAGCTTAGGAATCTTGTATCTATGTAGTGGTTCACTAGTTCTGTAGCTCAGGGCTTTGTGGTAGCTGCAGATCTTGGTAGCTTAGGAATCTTGTATCTATGTAGTGGTTCACTAGTTCTGTAGCTCAGGGCTTTGTGGTAGCTGCAGATCTTGGTAGCTTAGGATCCTTGTATCTGTGTAGTTGTTCACAAGATCACAAGTTCCGTAGCTCAAGGCTTTGTGGTAGCTGCAGATCTTGGTAGCTTAGGAATCTTGTATCTATGTAGTTGTTCCCTAGTTCACTCGTTCCGTAGCTCAAGGCTTTGTGGTAGCTGCAGGTCGCGGTAGCTTAGGAATCTTGTATCTATGTAGTTGTTCCCTAGTTCACTCGTTCCGTAACTCAGGGCTTTGTGGTAGCTGCAACTCAGATGTTCATGAGTTTAATAGCTTAGTTCTGACTCAGAAGCTGTCCAGTTGTTAATCCCACTAGCTCGGTGCTCGAATAGTTGTTCAGTGCTCAGATAGTTGTTCAGTGCTCAGATACATGTTCAGTGCTCAGATAGATGTTCAGTGTTCAGATAGATGTTCAGTGTTCAGATAGATGTTCAGTGTTCAGATACGTGCTCAGTGCTCAGATAGTTGTTCAGTGCTCAGATAGATGTTCAGTGTTCAGATACATGTTCAGTGTTCAGATACATGTTCAGTGCTCAGATACATGTTCAGTGTTCAGATACATGTTCAGTGCTCAGATAGATGTTCAGTGTTCAGATACATGTTCAGTGTTCAGATACATGTTCAGTGCTCAGATACATGTTCAGTGTTCAGATACATGTTCAGTGTTCAGATACATGTTCAGTGCTCAGATACATGTTCAGTGCTCAGATAGATGTTCAGTGCTCAGATACATGTTCAGTGCTCAGATAGATGTTCAGTGCTCCAATAGTTGTTCAGTGCTCAGATACATGTTCAGTGTTCAGATACATGTTCAGTGCTCAGATACATGTTCAGTGCTCAGATACATGTTCAGTGCTCAGATACACGCCTGTTTTTCATGTAACCATGGTAACTACCGTGTTCTTTTCTTTCTTCTTTATTCAGCATGTTTAGAGGCAAGCCTTGGAAGATGCAGCATGTTTGAAATATTGCTTATGCTGCACTTTTCACTGCACACTTAGTCCACTATATTACATGCATGTTTCAGGATTCAGACGAAGATGTCAATTATGAAGAACCATCATCCCAAACTGAACAGAATGTAAGTGAAGGGGTGCTAGTTTCCAGAGGTGTGATGAATTTCCTAGATACAAACTGTATTAATGACATCACGTAGGAGTGTGGTGTCTTGGCTGGTTGAATATGTGAAGTGTTTGATCAGGTGACTGAAGGGATGATCAATCTTAATAATTCTGGAGGGAAAGCACATTGTGGCTAAACTCCTTTCCCGTTTGTCTATCATGCAGGCAGGGCGATGTTACATTGGTGTGAGTCTATAAGACAGGGTGGATGTTACATTGGTGTGAGTCTATAAGACAGGGTGGGTGTTACAATGGTGTGAGTCTATAAGACAGGGTGGGTGTTACATTGGTGTGAGTCTATAAGACAGGGTGGGTGTTACATTGGTGTGAGTCTATAAGACAGGGTGGATGTTACATTGGTGTGAGTCTATAAGACAGGGTGGATGTTACATTGGTGTGAGTCTATAAGACAGGGTGGATGTTACATTGGTGTGAGTCTATAAGACAGGGTGGATGTTACATTGGTGTGAGTCTATAAGACAGGGTGGGTGTTACATTGGTGTGAGTCTATAAGACAGGGTGGGTGTTACAATGGTGTGAGTCTATAAGACAGAGTGGGTGTTACATTGGTGTGAGTCTATAAGACAGGGTGGATGTTACATTGGTGTGAGTCTATAAGACAGGGTGGATGTTACATTGGTGTGAGTCTATAAGAAAGGGTGGGTGTTACATTGGTGTGAGTCTATAAGACAGGGTGGGTGTTATATTGATGGGTGTTACATTGGTGTGAGTCTATAAGACAGGGTGGGTGTTACATTGGTGTGAGTCTATAAGAAAGGGTGGGTGTTACATTGGTGTGAGTCTATAAGACAGGGTGGGTGTTATATTGATGGGTGTTACATTGGTGTGAGTCTATAAGACAGGGTGGGTGTTACATTGGTGTGAGTCTATAAGACAGGGTGGGTGTTACATTGGTGTGAGTCTATAAGACAGGATGGGTGTTATATTGATGGGTGTTACATTGGTGTGAGTCTATAAGACAGGGTGGGTGTTACATTGGTGTGAGTCTATAAGACAGGGTGGGTGTTATATTGATGGGTGTTACATTGGTGTGAGTCTATAAGACAGGGTGGGTGTTATATTGATGGGTGTTACATTGGTGTGAGTCTACAAGGCAGGGTGGGTGTTACATTGATGTGTTTCTACAAGACAGGGTGGGTGTACACTGATGTGTTTCTATAAGACAGGGTGGGTGTACACTGATGTGTTTCTATAAGACAGGGTGGGTGTACACTGATGTGTTTCTATAAGACAGGGTGGTCGTTACACAGATGTGTTTCTATAAGACAGGGTGGGTGTACACTGATGTGTTTCTACAAGGCAGGGTGGGTGTTACATTGATGTGTATCTACAAGGCAGGGTGGGTGTACACTGATGTGTTTCTATAAGACAGGGTGGGTGTACACTGATGTGTATCTACAAGGCAGGGTGGGTGTACACTGATGTGTTTCTATAAGACAGGGTGGTCGTTACACAGATGTGTTTCTACAAGACAGGGTGGGTGTACACTGATGTGTTTCTACAAGGCAGGGTGGGTGTACACTGATGTGTTTCTACAAGGCAGGGTGGGTGTACATTGATGTGTATCTACAAGGCAGGGTGGGTGTACACTGATGTGTTTCTATAAGACAGGGTGGGTGTACACTGATGTGTATCTACAAGGCAGGGTGGGTGTACACTGATGTGTTTCTATAAGGCAGGGTGGGTGTACACTGATGTGTTTCTACAAGACAGGGTGGGTGTACACTGATGTGTTTCTATAAGACAGGGTGGGTGTACACTGATGTGTTTCTATAAGACAGGGTGGGTGTACACTGATGTGTTTCTATAAGACAGGGTGGGTGTACACTGATGTGTTTCTACAAGGCAGGGTGGGTGTACACTGATGTGTTTCTACAAGGCAGGGTGGGTGTACACTGATGTGTTTCTATAAGACAGGGTGGGTGTACACTGATGTGTTTCTACAAGGCAGGGTGGGTGTTACATTGATGTGTATCTACAAGGCAGGGTGGGTGTACACTGATGTGTTTCTATAAGACAGGGTGGGTGTACACTGATGTGTATCTACAAGGCAGGGTGGGTGTACACTGATGTGTTTCTATAAGACAGGGTGGGTGTACACTGATGTGTATCTACAAGGCACGGTGGGTGTACACTGATGTGTTTCTACAAGGCAGGGTGGGTGTACACTGATGTGTTTCTATAAGACAGGGTGGGTGTACACTGATGTGTTTCTATAAGACAGGGTGGGTGTACACTGATGTGTTTCTACAAGGCAGGGTGGTCATTACACTGATGTGTTTCTAAAAGGCAGGGTGGGTGTACACTGATGTGTTTCTACAAGGCAGGGTGGGTGTACACTTATGTGTTTCTATAAGGCAGGGTGGGTGTACATTGATGTGTTTCTACAAGGCAGGGTGGGTGTTACATTGATGTGTTTCTATAAGACAGGGTGGTCATTACACAGATGTGTTTCTATAAGACAGGGTGGGTGTACACTGATGTGTTTCTATAAGACAGGGTGGGTGTTACATTGATGTGTTTCTACAAGGCAGGGTGGGTGTTACATTGATGTGTATCTACAAGGCAGGGTGGGTGTACACTGATGTGTTTCTATAAGACAGGGTGGGTGTACACTGATGTGTATCTACAAGGCAGGTCGGGTGTACACTGATGTGTTTCTATAAGACAGGGTGGGTGTACACTGATGTGTTTCTATAAGACAGGGTGGGTGTACACTGATGTGTTTCTATAAGACAGGGTGGGTGTACACTGATGTGTTTCTATAAGACAGGGTGGGTGTACACTGATGTGTATCTACAAGGCAGGGTGGGTGTACACTGATGTGTTTCTATAAGACAGGGTGGGTGTACACTGATGTGTATCTACAAGGCAGGGTGGGTGTACACTGATGTGTTTCTACAAGGCAGGGTGGGTGTACACTGATGTGTTTCTATAAGGCAGGGTGGGTGTACATTGATGTGTTTCTACAAGGCAGGGTGGGTGTTACATTGATGTGTTTCTATAAGACAGGGTGGTCGTTACACAGATGTGTTTCTATAAGACAGGGTGGGTGTACACTGATGTGTTTCTATAAGACAGGGTGGGTGTTACATTGATGTGTTTCTACAAGGCAGGGTGGGTGTACATTGATGTGTATATACAAGGCAGGGTGGGTGTTACATTGATGTGTTTCTATAAGACAGGGTGGGTGTACACTGATGTGTTTCTACAAGGCAGGGTGGGTGTACACTGATGTGTTTCTATAAGACAGGGTGGGTGTACACTGATGTGTTTCTGTAAGACAGGGTGGTCGTTACACAGATGTGTTTCTATAAGACAGGGTGGGTGTTACATTGATGTGTTTCTACAAGGCAGGGTGGGTGTTACACTGATGTGTTTCTATAAGACAGGGTGGGTGTACACTGATGTGTTTCTATAAGACAGGGTGGGTGTACACTGATGTGTTTCTACAAGGCAGGGTGGGTGTTACATTGATGTGTTTCTATAAGACAGGGTGGGTGTACACTGATGTGTTTCTACAAGGCAGGGTGGGTGTACACTGATGTGTTTCTATAAGACAGGGTGGGTGTACACTTATGTGTTTCTACAAGGCAGGGTGGGTGTACACTGATGTGTTTCTATAAGACAGGGTGGGTGTACACTGATGTGTTTCTACAAGGCAGGGTGGGTGTTACATTGATGTGTTTCTACAAGGTAGGGTGGGTGTACACTGATGTGTTTCTACAAGGCAGGGTGGGTGTACACAGATGTGTTTCTATAAGACAGGGTGGGTGTACACTGATGTGTTTCTATAAGACAGGGTGGGTGTACACTGATGTGTTTCTACAAGGCAGGGTGGGTGTACACTGATGTGTTTCTATAAGACAGGGTGGGTGTACACTGATGTGTTTCTATAAGACAGGGTGGGTGTACACTGATGTGTTTCTATAAGACAGGGTGGGTGTACACTGATGTGTTTCTACAAGGCAGGGTGGGTGTTACATTGATGTGTTTCTATAAGACAGGGTGGGTGTACACTGATGTGTTTCTACAAGGCAGGGTGGGTGTACACAGATGTGTTTCTATAAGACAGGGTGGGTGTACACTGATGTGTTTCTATAAGACAGGGTGGGTGTACACTGATGTGTTTCTACAAGGCAGGGTGGGTGTACACTGATGTGTTTCTATAAGACAGGGTGGGTGTACACTGATGTGTTTCTATAAGACAGGGTGGGTGTACACTGATGTGTTTCTACAAGGCAGGGTGGGTGTACACTGATGTGTTTCTATAAGACAGGGTGGGTGTACACTGATGTGTTTCTATAAGGCAGGGTGGGTGTACACTGATGTGTTTCTATAAGACAGGGTGGGTGTACACTGATGTGTTTCTACAAGGCAGGGTGGGTGTACACTGATGTGTTTCTACAAGGCAGGGTGGGTGTACACTTATGTGTTTCTATAAGACAGGGTGGGTGTTACATTGATGTGTTTCTACAAGACAGGGTGGGTGTTACATTGATGTGTTTCTATAAGACAGGGTGGGTGTTACATTGATGTGTTTCTACAAGACAGGGTGGTCATTACACTGATGTGTTTCTACAAGGCAGGGTGGGTGTACACTGATGTGTTTCTACAAGGCAGGGTGGGTGTACACCGATGTGTTTCTACAAGGCAGGGTGGGTGTACACTGATGTGTTTCTACAAGGCAGGGTGGGTGTACACTGATGTGTTTCTACACGGCAGGGTGGCTGTACACTTATGTGTTTCTACAAGGCAGGGTGGGTGTTACATTGATGTGTTTCTATAAGACAGGGTGGTCGTTACACAGATGTGTTTCTATAAGACAGGGTGGGTGTACACTGATGTGTATCTACAAGGCAGGGTGGGTGTTACATTGATGTGTTTCTACAAGGCAGGGTGGGTGTACACTGATGTGTTTCTATAAGACAGGGTGGGTGTACATTGATGTGTATCTACAAGGCAGGATGGGTGTACACTGATGTGTTTCTACAAGGCAGGGTGGTCGTTACACAGATGTGTTTCTACAAGTCAGGGTGGTCGTTACACAGATGTGTTTCTATAAGACAGGGTGGGTGTACACTGATGTGTTTCTACAAGGCAGGGTGGGTGTACACTGATGTGTTTCTATAAGACAGGGTGGGTGTACACTGATGTGTTTCTACAAGGCAGGGTGGGTGTACACTGATGTGTTTCTATAAGACAGGGTGGGTGTACACTGATGTGTTTCTACAAGGCAGGGTGGGTGTACACTGATGTGTTTCTATAAGACAGGGTGGGTGTACACTGATGTGTTTCTACAAGGCAGGGTGGGTGTACACTGATGTGTTTCTATAAGACAGGGTGGGTGTACACTGATGTGTTTCTACAAGGCAGGGTGGGTGTACACTGATGTGTTTCTACAAGGCAGGGTGGGTGTACACTGATGTGTTTCTATAAGACAGGGTGGGTGTACACTGATGTGTTTCTACAAGGCAGGGTGGGTGTACACTGATGTGTTTCTACAAGGCAGGGTGGGTGTACACTGATGTGTTTCTACAAGGCAGGGTGGGTGTACACTGATGTGTTTCTACAAGGCAGGGTGATCATTACGTTGATGTGTTTCTACAAGACAGGGTGGGTGTACACTGATGTGTTTCTATAAGACAGGGTGGGTGTACACTGATGTGTTTCTATGAGACAGGGTGGGTGTACACTGATGTGTTTCTACAAGGCAGGGTGGGTGTACACTCATGTGTTTCTACAAGGCAGGGTGGGTGTTACGTTGATGTGTTTCTACAAGACAGGGTGGGTATGTTCCATGGTAATGGTTCTTCATGATCACCGCTATGCTGATATGATGCTTGATGTTTGTTATTATCACACAGTTGCATTTCACTGTTGTCACACACACTGTTGCACTATTGTATTGTTGATTGTTCTATGCATCATGACCATTGTAACTGTCATGCATGTTTTTGTCCCGCTGTCTATTGTCATGTTGATTGTGATGCACAATGTTGTAGTTTTAATGATGACATGATATCTGTGATGAATACATTGATTGCCATTTCGATTGGGGGATTGTATTTTGACTTAATGATTGTCATATGGTCACACTCTTTCAAACTTATCACTGTCTTGGTTTTTACCAATGTTACCATTGCCATTGTCACCTGTGTCTTCACCATTGTCATATTCACATGTTGTCGTCATTGTCATACTCACATGTTGTCATCATTGTCATATTCACATGTTGTAATCATTGTCATACTCACATGTTGTCATCATTGTCATATTCACATGTTGTCACCATTGTCATACTCACATGTTGTCATCATTGTCATACTCACATGTTGTCATCATTGTCATACTCACATGTTGTCATCATTGTCATATTCACATGTTGTCATCATTGTCATATTCACATGTTGTCATCATTGTCATATTCACATGTTGTCATCATTGTCATATTCACATGTTGTCACCATTGTCATATTCACATGTTGTCACCATTGTCATATTCACATGTTGTCACCATTGTCATATTCACATGTTGTCGTCATTGTCATATTCACATGTTGTCATCATTGTCACACTCACATGTTGTCATCATTGTCATATTCACATGTTGTCGTCATTGTCATATTCACATGTTGTCATCATTGTCACACTCACATCTTGTCATCATTGTCATATTCACATGTTGTCACCATTGTCATATTCACATGTTGTCACCATTGTCATACTCACATGTTGTCATCATTGTCACACTCACATGTTGTCATCATTGTCATATTCACATGTTGTTGTCATTGTCATAATCACATGTTGTCATCATTGTCACACTCACATGTTGTCATCATTGTCATATTCACATGTTGTCACCATTGTCATATTCACATGTTGTCGTCATTGTCATATTCACATGTTGTCATCATTGTCATACTCACATGTTGTCATCATTGTCACACTCACATGTTGTCATCATTGTCATATTCACATGTTGTCATCATTGTCATATTCACATGTTGTCATCATTGTCATGTTCACATGTTGTCACCATTGTCATATTCACATCTTGTCGTCATTGTCATACTCACATGTTGTCACCATTGTCATACTCACATGTTGTCACCATTGTCATACTCACATGTTGTCATCATTGTCATACTCACATGTTGTCACCATTGTCACACTCACATGTTGTCATCATTGTCATATTCACATGTTGTCGTCATTGTCATATTCACATGTTGTCATCATTGTCACACTCACATCTTGTCATCATTGTCATATTCACATGTTGTCACCATTGTCATATTCACATGTTGTCACCATTGTCATACTCACATGTTGTCATCATTGTCACACTCACATGTTGTCATCATTGTCATATTCACATGTTGTTGTCATTGTCATATTCACATGTTGTCATCATTGTCACACTCACATGTTGTCATCATTGTCATATTCACATGTTGTCACCATTGTCATATTCACATGTTGTCGTCATTGTCATATTCACATGTTGTCGTCATTGTCATACTCACATGTTGTCATCATTGTCACACTCACATGTTGTCATCATTGTCATATTCACATGTTGTCATCATTGTCATATTCACATGTTGTCATCATTGTCATGTTCACATGTTGTCACCATTGTCATATTCACATCTTGTCGTCATTGTCATACTCACATGTTGTCACCATTGTCATACTCACATGTTGTCACCATTGTCATACTCACATGTTGTCATCATTGTCATACTCACATGTTGTCACCATTGTCATATTCACATGTTGTCACCATTGTCATACTCACATGTTGTCATCATTGTCATACTCACATGTTATCACCATTGTCATTCTCACATGTTGTCGTCATTGTCTTTCTCAGTTGTTGTTGTCATTGTCATACTCACATGTTGTCATCATTGTCATACTCATCCATTCCATCCTGGGTCACACACATACATTTCTTCCTGGGTCACACATACATTTCATTCTGGGACACACAAATACATTGTATTCTGGGTCACACACATTCATTTCATCCTGGGTCACACACATCCATTTCATTCTGGATCACACACATCCATTTCATCCTGGGTCACACACATACATTTCATCCTGGGTCACACACATACATTTCATCCTGGGTCACACACGTCCATTTCATCCTGGGTCACACACATACATTTCATCCTGGGTCACGCACATACATTTCATCCTGGGTCACGCACATACATTTCATCCTGGGACACACACATATATTTCATCCTGAGTCACACACAATCGTTTCATCCTGGGTCACACACATCCATTTCATCCTGGGTCACACACATCCATTTCATCCTCGGTCACACACATACATTTCATCCTGGATCACACATACATTTCATTCTGGGTCACACATGTTCATGCTTCATCTGTAGTAATGATATCTAACACCCTGGGTATTGCATGTCTCCAGTGATTCACCCAATAGCCTGTATTGTCCTAATTCATTTCCTTCTTGTACATTTCACTGTATTTGACAACTTTCAGATACAACAAGAGATATATGATGACTTTACGGAGGATACAGACGAATTTCCCCCACCCCCCTCATCCCCGCCCCTACCCCCACCCCCCTCTCGTTCAACTCGTCCACTGCCAGTGCCACAGGTACAGTGCTTCCCAGTGTTTGCATGTACTCTAGCCATATGCATGCGTTGCCATATGTAGGTACTGGCCCACCCTGGGGACATGCCCTACTAGCACTTCTTTGTTTGATTTCATTGATGGTTTGGGTTGACAAAACTCCTTCTTTCCTCACTGAGTTTGATGGACTGGGATTTTGGTAAATTCAAGGTTTTCATATTTCTTGTGTTCTTGGCTGCATGATTCTCCCACAGTTGAAATATTTATGAGTATATATTTCTGTTATCTTGCATTTATTTATTTTATTTTGTTTCACCTTTATGATTATTTATTCAAGGGTGCATTGTTGGGCAGGTACAATGACAGGTATGCATTTTGACAGGTGCAAAACTTACAAGGTCTAACTCACTACTTATTCCAGCTCTACAGTGCTAATAGCTAAACTAAAATATTAACGCATTCACTACTAATGGCTGTAAGATTGAACCAGCCCTTGTGAAACCTGTCGCCTGCCATTTTATTCAATGTTTTCAATGTCAAGAGCTGTTTTATGCGTTATATCTGGTCATTTTGTCATGGACAAAATGCTTCTACATTTAGGAAACAAATAAGTCCTTGGTACACAGATCGTTATCACTAAAATTGCGTTTTTGAGAAATTAGCAAAATGCCAACCTGTTAACCCATCTATTTCTGTTTTTTTCTTAAGGGATTCACCTTTTCTGGGTGTTCTGTCTGCAGTTTTTTCTTCCTGCTTTTTGTAAGGCAATAAAATGAAATCAGGATTGGATTGGATTGTTGTTTAACGCCGCACTCAGCAATATTCCAGCTATATGACGGCGGTCTGTAAATAATTGAGTCTGGACCAGACAATCCAGTGATTAATATCATGAGCATCGATCCACGCAATTGGGATCGATGACATGCATCAACCAAATCAGCGAGCCTGACCACCCGATCCCGTTAGTCGCCTTTTACGACAAGCATAGTCGCCTTTTACGGCAAGCATGGGTTGCTGAAGACCTATTCTACCCCGGATCTTCACGGGGCTGGTGGTCAAAATGGCAGGAAGACCCATTCTGTTGTTGCTGTTGTTTGTTGTTTAATGCAGCCCTCAGCAATATTCACAGCTACATGACGGCGGTCTGTAAATAATCAAGTCCGGACCAAACAATCCAGTGATTGACATCTTGCACATTGTTCCACACAATTGGGACATGATGACATGCATCAACCAAGTCAGCGAGCCTGACCACCCGATCCTGTTAGTCACCTTTAACTGCAAGCATGGTCACCTTTAATGGCAAGCATGGGTTGCTGAAGATCTGGATCTTCAGGGGTCTGAAGAGCTGTTCTTGCCTGTGACCATCAGTGATCTGTTGATTAAGTGTCGTCATAGTGACTGGTAGTTGCAGTCCAGCTCAGTGTAGTGGGGATGTTGTCCCAGCCTGATGTTGTTCATGCTGCAATGTTGTTTCATACATGTTGATCATTGCTGTTTTCCACATTGAGGATTTAGTCATACCAGGTTTTTAATCAGAAGATGCACTAGGTTTATCTCCATTCTACCATGACAATATATTTTCATCTTTGGTTTTGTATGTATGTTAAAAAGTTACAAAATGCAAAGTACCCTGAAGAACATGACAGTTTATTTTTGCATTTGAGTAAGCATTGGCACTAAAATAATCTGTGTTCTATATATAATTTCACTTGCAACTCTGAAATCTTTTTGTATCTTAATTTGACATTGAGAACATACATACAAAATTATTATGAAGAAACCTGCATCTACCTAACACTCAACATACGTGAATGGCATGCTACCTGTAATGTGAGTACCATAAACGTTGTAATAAGGCCCCTGTGTGCTTAGAAAATTGGCAAAGGGAAAGTAAGGGTGGGCTCTTATTAACATCATACATACAAGTTAAATAGAGTTGGAGATCAAGCGATAGAGATCGAACTCAGTTCGAACCTCAATGAGACTAACACTAAACCATTTATAATCACAAGAAAATACGGCTGTAATGTAAATCTTCAGACTCACAGATTGGTCTAAAAGTTGGTCAGATTGCGCTTAGTGGAGCTGGGCAGTTATGCCAATATGATTTCTTTATGTCATTCAACATGGCCGTTCCCGCTACCACCAGAATTCTCCAAGCATAACTTTGTGTATTTATGTAGAATTCCTACGTTTTTCTGAGATGATTTCAGTACAAAGGGACTTGGGATAAAATAAAACAGTTATCTCCCCTTAAAGTGGGTACTATTGTAAACATCTCGGGCTGCGAAATAAAAACAGAAATCGGTGTACACTGATTCGGTCTGGGTTCAAAACGAAATGGTAACAAAAATCAGGGTACAACTCAATATATTGTTTTGTACCAAGGGTACATTTTGATGGTAATTGATGGAGAGTGTCCCTATCAGCGTGTGCCCTTCACATAAATATTCATTAATGGTGCTTGGATCATGATAGTCGAACAGGGATTTGGTAGGAGCAAGCAAAACAAGATGCAAGATTATTAGTTGTCATGGTAGAATGGATTGATACAGAAGATGCCCTTACCCTGGTAGGAATACGACCCATTTGTCAATGGGTTAGGAAAACCTAACAAGTACATAGTTTCTTGAGGACTGAGTACCATACTTTTTACTGTATGGTGCTAGTTGTCGATGTCGACCAATCTCCTGAAGCATTTCAGCAGCATGTGATCTGGTTGTGTATGTGTATGTACCCTCTTATCTTGAATGTCGGCCCATTCTTGAACTGGGATAAATCCTATCTGGTCCAATTCTGAATATGGACAAACCCTATCTTGAAAGTAAGTCCAGTCCTGGGCCACTTGCACAAAGCGATCTTAGCGCTAAGATGATCGTAACTCCCATTCTTAAACATAGGATTACAATAGTTGTAGCGCTAAGATCGCTTTATGCAAGTGGACCCTGAACTTGGACACATCCTTCCTTAAGATTGAGAACCTGGGTTCAGTACTAACTATTCAGTTCAGTCAACCCATCCCCAGTTACATATTTCCCACCCACAGACCTAGGCCCAGCAGCCACAGTCACTATAATGACAAGCTGTGGCTGTGTAACTCTGAATCACTTTCAGACCAGCTTGCAGCTCATCCATCGGTTACCTGTTCAGCAATGAACATTTTTAGCTCACCTGTCAAGTAGGCTCATCGTAGGGTGTGTTGTCAGTCTGTCTGTCATCAGCTGCTATCTCCTCTGAACCTGCAAGGCCTGTGAAACTGAAACTTTATCGTCCCTGCTTTTGTGTCTCTAATAATGCTCACAGAGTTCAGACTCAATCATTAAAATGGAAGCCATGGCAGACATGTTTAAAGTGTCATTTTTGCCAATTACTCAATTATTAAATTATTAAATTAAATTATTAAATTTGATATGCAGCAGGTATGTGGTATGTGTAATACCAGATAATATGTGTGGTGTCTCTAAAATTGCTTGCAGAAATATGATAATCGATCCCCATTGTGTCCCCATTATTCCTCCTAATTCAAGGACGGTGGGGTAGCCTACTGGTTACAATGTTCGCTCGTCACACCGAAGACACGGGTTTGATTCCCGACATGGGTACAATGTGTGAAGCCCATTTCTGGTGTCCACTGCCTTGATACTGCTGGAATGTTGCTAAAAGCGGCGTAAAACCAGATTCACTCACTCACTCACTCACACAAAGATGGATAGGTGCTCATGATTTCAGTCAGTTGTCAAGTAAATTTTTACCACATGGTTCAGTTTTCATTTGAAAAGGAGTAAGCGAGTGAGTGAGTGAGTTGGGTTTAACGCCGCTTTTAACAGTGTTCCAGTTATATCGCGGCGTATCAGCTTAATGTCGGAGGAAAGCCCGATGTGATGCAGGTTTGAGATGTTTATCACTTCGGTGAAACCCACAAGCACAGGTATGGTGCTGACAAACCTAGAAACATAATTGGGGTGAACCGGGATTCGAACCCACAATCATAGGTTTCTGGCATGCCAAAGGGACGCAACTCTGCACAGCGATTTGAAAAGGAAACTTTTCATGCAAGTGTGTATTGACCCTGCAGGAAACTTTTCATACACATGCTGACTCATTGGGAATATCAAGTTGAAGGTCACGCATGGTTGAATTAATGGCCCAGTTATTCCTTGTTACGAACTCAAACAATAGGACGTCAACAGAATTTCTTTTTCTCAAACTTGTCTTGTTGGGACTTGAGTTCTTTGTCAAATGAAGGAATCTTATGTGAGACATATACTTTCAGGAATCACAGGATCTTTATGATGAATTTGAAATGGAACATCCTCCAGAAATTAATCCATACAACCCGTCCAAGCAAGAGGATCAGGGAGAGGTATAGCTAGGTTGTGTGTGGCCATTGAGGCAATGCATTCCTCTTCATATGGAACATGGCAACACCATGACCTTTTTATCATTAGTTGGTTGAAAACCTGTGTTTGTAGTCAAAATGAAAAAAAGTTATTTTTGTACAAAAGTTTTATTAGCAGGATGAATATTTTTCAGTTTGTTCTTCGTCCTTTTGTGAAATGTAACAGAAGTGTTATTGTTTTGAAAGTATTTCAGTGGTAACAGAGCCAAATGTTGCTTGCAGTAGCAGTATCACTCTCAGTGGTAACATATAAAACCCTAAACTGGAATGTTTTTTTAGTCAGTGATTATTAAAACAGGTCTGAAATGCTTTATGAATTCTAACACAGAGTAATAGAAATTGACCCTTCAAATAAACACAGACACAAGAGCTTCCCTTGCCTGATTGCCACACTTAGCATGTTCGTATGTGGCTAGCTGTCCTGTTAGTCATTGCATGCAGTACACCAGGGAATATGTTTCTATTTTCAGATTTATGATGAGTTTGAAGAAGTAGCAACCGATGAGGTTTATGCGGTGAGACATTCTTTGTTCTACATAGGCTACTACATGCTTGTTTGGAATAAACAACACTGTGATAATATTGTGGACTGTTGGGTGCAGTCCCTGGTGATATGGCTGTAATATTGCTGACTGTTTTCTAAGTCCCTGGTGATATAGCTGTAATATTGCTGACTGTTTTGTAAGTCCCTGGTGATATAGCTGTAATATTGTTGACTGTTTCTTGCAGTCCCTGGTGATATAGATGTAATGTTGCTGACTGTTTTGTGCAGTCCCTGGTGATATAGCTGTAATATTGCTGACTGTTTTATGCAGTCCCTTGTGCATGTTGTGATACAGCTGTAATATTGCTGACTGTTTTGTGCAGTCCCTGGTGATACAGCTGTAATATTGCTGACTGTTTTATGCAGTCCCTGGTGATACAGCTGTAATATTGCCGAATGTTTTATGCAGTCCCTGGTGATACAGCTGTAATATTGCTGACTGTTTTGTGCAGCCCCTGTTGATACAGCTGTAATATTGCTGACTGTTTTGTGCAGTCCCTGGTGATATAGCTGTAATATTGCTGACTGTTTTGTGCAGTCCCTGGTGATATAGCTGTAATATTGCTGACTGTTTTGTGCAGTCCCTGGTGATATAGCTGTAATATTGCTGACTGTTTTGTGCAGTCCCTGGTGATAAAGCTGTAATATTGCTGACTGTTTTGTGCAGTCCCTGGTGATACAGCTGTAATATTGCTGACTGTTTTGTGCAGTCCCTGGTGATACAGCTGTAATATTGCTGACTGTTTTGTGCAGTCCCTGGTGATACAGCTGTAATATTGCTGACTGTTTTGTGCAGTCCCTGTTGATATAGCTGTAATATTGCTGACTGTTTTGTGCAGTCCCTGGTGATACAGCTGTAATATTGCTGACTGTTTTGTGCAGTCCCTGGTGATATAGCTGTAATATTGCTTGTAGACTTGGTTAACAAACCAACTGGTACACACATCACTGTGGTGATTCTAGGTTAGACTTGGTTTCCAGCAACCTATACTATAGGTGGTCAGCTTCGGTGATTTTGTTGATTACTTGTCATCGTACTCCAATAATGTGGATTTTTGGTGATAATTTCAATCACTGGATTGTCTCGTCCAGACTCGATGAGTTCCAGGTAGATGTCAAATGGCTGCAATAGTGCCGAGTGTGGTGTTCAAAAACACATGCACATACATCCTAGCAGTATAAACTACCGGTATGCGCACAATGACAGTTGATGAAGATTGACTTACATCATTCAGGACCCTGATGAAGACAATGACCCCCCCCCGCCTCCTCCCACTAACTTCCCCAAGACACATGGGAGTAAAGCACCACCCCTCCCTCCAATGGGGAACAGACGAGGATCACAGCCCTTGCCGCCACCCCCTCGGGGGACAAAACATGAGGTGAGTGCTGCTTCCCTGAAGGTATGCTGTAGTTACTACCATTCAGGCACTCATTGTATCAATCATAAGGGTAAGAAATTGGGTTAAATGGGTTAGAATTATTCCCATCAACCTGCTATTGTCTTATGAGGCAAAAGCCTTGAAGATCCCGGTCAGACTATGTCTTCAGCAACCCATGCTTGCTATAAAAGGCGACTTTGCTTGTCTTAAGAGGAGACTAACGGGATCGGGTGGTCAGGCTTGATGACTTGGTTGGTGCATGTCATCGTATCCCAATTGCATGGATTGATGCCAATCACTGGATTGTCTTGTCCTGACTCGATTCTATACAGACCGCTGTCATATAACTGGAATATTGCTGTGTACGGCATTAAGCAACAAACAAACAAACTTATTACAGTAAACTACGGTTATAACGAACACGCTTATAACGAACTAACGGATATAACGAACTAACTTTTTAGTCCCGACTATATGCTGTAGTTATGCTGTATATATGCTTATAACAAACTACGGTTATAACGAACTAAAATTAGTAGTCCCTTTGAGTTTGTTATAACCGTAGTTTACTGTAGGTGACTTAGTACATCAGGTGGTCTGGTTCGGTGACTTATTTGAGTGTGTGTTGCTGTTCACAATATCAGTCATTGGATTGTCTGGTCCAGGCTTGATTATTTACAGATTACAGGGTTAAACAACAAACATAACCACATAAGGGTTAAACAATGAAGTCCAATTACTTTCCGTTATTTGCAAGTTTGCATTTTATAGATTATTGATGCTTCATTGTTATGAGCAATACAATAGGATGTCATCCATTGTTTATGATGTCACACTTGGACAACAGGCTAGGTCATCTGAACAATAAGCTGATGTCATGCAGTTTCTTTGTAGGGTTGACATTTCATGTATTTTCTTTCTGAAAATGACAATGAGTAATATTTAGAATTCTCATCTCAAACTGGCTTCCACAGGAGATATTGCTTGGGTGAGATGAAGCAATATCTAGTAGGAGGTATCACTATAGTGAAACTGTATCACAATGCTTTGCAGACCATTGTAACGTCATCAGTTACCATGATGTCACAATCGAATGATGTCACTAATCTGTCTCTGAAGACGGATAGCTGTACTTTTACACTAAAGACGGGATGGTTGGTTATCCTAGTGGTTAAAGTGTTCACTTGTCACACCAAAGACCCGGGTTCGATTCCTCACATGGGTACAATGTGTGAAACCAATTTCTGTTGTCCCCCGCTGTGATATGAGTGGAATATTGTTAAAAGCGGCAAAAAACAATATTCACTCACAGTGCTCGAGAAAACGTTTTTTACTGTTTACAAACTGAAAAACTTGGAAGAAGGATGTTAGAATCTCACCCTCATGTCTTTGATAAGAAATATATGAATACTCGTCCACAAGAGTTTAAAATTCCTCAACAAGTCTCAGAGTTTTAAACTTTTAAAACCTTGTTGACCATCGATGCATCAGCTTCAGAGTGACAGTCCAATCATGAACATTGAACTGAGGATAGTCCCAGTCTGTCCTTATGAATCCATACGGTGAGAGGTATTGATGAGGAGGAAGATGATGCTAAGAGATTGCCAAGAGATTACCAGGAAGAAAAATGTCTACAGATATCTTTTTGTTTCAGGATACTCCCCCTCCTCAAGCAATTGAAGGTAAGGTCATTTTGATGTCTACTTCTGATTATACCAATGGCCCTTTTCTTTTTTTTGGTTACAATTGACACTTTTACATGTAGGCCTCCCTTTTTTTAACTTGCTTTACAGATGTTTTACAAGAATAATTAATACCTGTCAGTTGGTGGAAAACGAAAAAAGAAAAGCGATTCAGATTTTTTTAATACTTTTCTCTTCCACTACAAGTAGGCTGGCTGAAAATCGAGCTGTTTTACATTTCTATACATAAATATGGTTTGTTTTCAATCAGTGGAGTGCTGACAGGACTGACCTGATTGACATGACTGACATGATTGACATGACTGACCTGTTTGACCTGCTTGACATGATTGACAGGACTGACCTGTTTGACCTGCTTGACATGATTGACATGACTGACCTGATTGACCTGATTGACATGACTGACCTACTTGACATGATTGACATGACTGACCTGTTTGACATGATTGACCTGTTTGACATGATTGACATGATTGACAGGACTGACCTATTTGACCTGTTTGACCTGCTTGACATGATTGACATGACTGACCTGATTGACCTGCTTGACAGGATTGACATGATTGACACGATTCACCTCTTTGACCTGATTGACCTGCTAGACATGTATCCTTCTCCTCTTACACAAGCCACACAAGTACAACATCTTCACTGCAACTGCAAAGAGTTTTTGTTGACAAAAAGGCAAAGTGATTACCAGCTCTATGTTCCACAAAGTTCACACTGCAACAGATCAGCATGATGTTCGCTGCTGCCCAATAACTTTACGGTTATGATTCTCCATGGTAACTGTTCCTACAGTGTGAGTGTTGAGTACCCTCATCAATATCACCTTTAGGCTCAGGTGTAATCTGTTTCCTGGACCATGTGGACGTTGTCAGTGTACCAATGCAAACCTTCGTTTTCTTCCAGATCCAGATGATATCTATGATGGTCCAGATGACATTGACCAGGTAAGACAGTTTCCTTCAACTTACCGTAGTAGCCATAATAAGTGCGCAGGGTACTTAGGACCCTTGAAGATCTGGCAGGTTATATATGATAAAGATCCACAATGGTACAAGCTGTAGATTTTGTTTATCATAATGATCCATGATGTTTCATTTGTCATAATGAGCCACAATGTGAGAGCTATGTATTTTGTTAATGTTAAGGATCCACGATGATAGAACCTATATGTTTTTTTCATCACTATGATCCACAAAGGTAGATCTATATATTTTGTTTCATATCGGTACTGTCGGGGACCATGTTTGTTATTTTGTGTGACAAAGACAGACTAAAACTGATTTCATATTTTACAGGATTTGTACCAAGAAGAAGATGTCGGTGAGTATCATGATTATACTTCAAAACCCTGTGCTCTCCCACTTCTGGGAACCAGAGAAATGGTTTGACTTTTCCGGGGTGCTACCTATCCGACTTGCCCAGGTCCATATCCACTGGTAACCTCGCCATCTTTCACTTTTATGGAGTAGAAACATCCAGCTATCCCCTTTGTTAAGCCAGATCCCTTACTAGACAGCTAAGCCATGTTTCAGTCCAGTACTGATCAACACGAGATCCTTTACTAGACAGCTAAGCCATGTTTCAGTCCTGTACTGATCAACACCAGATCCTTTACTAGACAGCTAAGCCATGTTTCAGTCCAGTACTGATCAACACCAGATCCTTTACTAGATGGCTAAGGCATGTTTCAGTTCAGTACTGATCAACACCAGATCCTTTACTACCGTATTTTCTTGAGTATAGTGCGCACCCATGTATAATGCGCACCCCCCTCTAGCGGGCTCAATATTTTGGAAAAAAAGAAATTTGAATATTATGCGCAGAATTTTTTTACACCGTACCCTTTCAGCGAAGTCCGGCAAACGAATGGGTGCTGAGAAACTTCGTCAGTACAAATTCGAAATTTGAGATAAAAAATCACCAGACATGTTATTTACCGTTTAAATAGTATTTATTGTTCTGCTAGGCATTGTTTTATATTTAGGGATTAAGATTACCCTGTGTATTTTCTCGTAAACTAAGCTGGAAACAGCAATCAGCTGTACACACGTTTTCTTCGAATCGACCGGTGATTCGGTCAAGACACACCCAATGATATAACTTTATAAGATTTTTAATGCAAGGATCGGCAACAATTGTATCTGAAACTATTTTATTTATCAGGAATAATATATTCCATTATTTTCTTAATTATATGCAACCTTTACTAAACATATTTAAAATAATAATAACCCTAAGCGAAGCAGCTGACCGCTATTCCCGGGTATTATTTTTTACATGGAGCATGTCTGACCAGTCACCGTCAAGGCTCACGCGCACGTGATCACGTGATCGCGAGAATTTCATGTTGACATAGAATCGTCAAACAAAAACAAATATGACTTTTAACGAGTCAAAGTATGTCATTTATGATATATGTATCCATTCTCTGTCAACTAAAGTTTGTTTCAAGGTGTCAATAGCGGTATTCTGACCGTGGTTGCTGGTAATAACGATGAGTTGTGCGATCTTCCGATCGCTTCACACACGATTTTGCCGAAATTAATAAAAACAATATTATAAGGAATTTTGAATAAAATCAATGAAATAAGTTACAAACATTAGTCCAGATATACAAAGAACTCTTTTTATAGCCAGACAGTGTAATTACATAATTATTTTGCGTACTTCAGTATGGATTTGTTGACATGGTATTCCCGGTGTTTCGTGCTCACGGTAATGTCTTTCCATGGGGGGAAAAAAACATCCAAACTCATAATTCGTGTATAATGCGCACCCCCTTCTACACAGCTGTGTTTTTTCGAAAAAAAGTGCGCACTATACTCAAGAAAATACGGTAGACAGCTAAGCCATGTTTCAGTCCAGTACTGATCAACACCAGATCCTTTACTAGACAGCTAAGCCATGTTTCAGTCCAGTACTGATCAACACCAGATCCTTCACTAGACAGCTAAGCCATGTTTCAGTCCAGTACTGATCAACACCAGATCCCTCACTAGACAGCTAAGCCATGTTTCAGTCCAGTACTGATCAACACCAGATCCTTTACTAGACAGCTAAGCCATGTTTCAGTCCAGTACTGATCAACACCAGATCCTTTACTAGACAGCTAAGCCATGTTTCAGTCCAGTACTGATCAACACCAGATCCCTCACTAGACTTTGACACACTCAGGTTGAACTCGAGATACATATCGTAACAGGCGTATAGTAAATATAATATCAAAATTGGGGCCTAAGAATTTCCTGGATGCAAGTGAGTAATTCAGTCACTGATTCAACGTGACATTGGTGGGCTTCAGGTGCGCCACCTCCTCCCCCTCTGCCAAGCATGAACCGGCCCAAGGTGACCAAGCCGCCCCCGACCCCACAGAGGAAGGAGAAGGAGAAGAAAGCACCTGCCAGTTCTTCGTCCGTGCCCCAGATTGGTCTGTCTGCCATCCAGGGTGCTCTTGGAAAGCTGCGGAGGATCTCGGATGATAAGACGGCGGACAACAAAGACACGAAAAATGAGAAAAACAAAGATGAAAAGTCAAAAGATAAAAAACTTGCAGGTGAGCTTTTACTGACTGAATTAGGTGATGGCACAGATATGAACGTCATTATTGATGCTAGGAATATTATTACTAGATTGGCCAGATCTCTGTGGAGACTGTGTCAGAATCAATCAGTGCTTGTTGTAAGAGGCGGTTCAGTGAATTGAGTGGTCAGGTTCAGTGACCTTGTTTATTACTAGATTGGCCAGATCTCTGTGGAGACTTTGTGTCAGAATCAATCAGTGCTTGTTGTAAGAGGCGGTTCAGTGAATTGAGTGGTCAGGTTCAGTGACCTTGTTTATTACTAGATTGGCCAGATCTCTGTGGAGACTTTGTGTCAGAATCAATCAGTGCTTGTTGTAAGAGGCGGTTCAGTGAATTGAGTGGGGCTCAGTGACCTTGTTTATTACTAGATTGGCCAGATCTCTGTGGAGACTTTGTGTCAGAATCAATCAGTGCTTGTTGTAAGAGGCGGTTCAGTGAATTGAGTGGGGCTCAGTGACCTTGTTTATTACTAGATTGGCCAGATCTCTGTGGAGACTTTGTGTCAGAATCAATCAGTGCTTGTTGTAAGAGGCGGTTCAGTGAATTGGTTGGTCAGGCACAGTGACCTTGTTTATTGTGTCATCGTAAACCTGATGGCTTGGGATGTTGCTGATGACATCAATCACTGGTTTACACTGGTTATCTGTACCACATTCAGTTACCACAAGCTGTCATTATTAAGCTGCAATATTCCCACGGGTGGTATTTAGCAACATACAAGACCAGATTTGTCATGTTTTGAAAAACAAAATTTAATCAACTTCATTAAGAGGATAAGTAGAAATTCTTTGTCTATATTTCTTATCATTTTCATATATTAAAGTATTCGGGAGTAAAAGCTGTGTAAAATGTAGTGTAAAATTCTCAATGACCATCCACCATGTCAAACATTTTATGCACTTTTGATGAAAAAGGAAAAATGGGGTACAGGTTACCTATTTGTTAAGTACAAATGATGAAGGTCTTGTCAGAAGGGCGATGGGGTCACCTATTTGTTCAGTACAAATGATGAAGGTCTTGTCGGAAGGGCGATGGGGTCACCTATTTGTTCAGTACAAATGATGAAGGTCTTGTCAGAAGGGCGATGGGGTACGTCACCTATTTGTTCAGTACAAATGATGAAGGTCTTGTCGGAAGGGCGATGGGGTCACCTATTTGTTCAGTACAAATGATGAAGGTCTTGTCAGAAGGGCGATGGGGTACGTCACCTATTTGTTCAGTACAAATGATGAAGGTCTTGTCGGAAGGGCGATGGTGTCACCTATTTGTTCAGTACAAATGATGAAGGTCTTGTCAGAAGGGCGATGGGGTATGTCACCTATTTGTTCAGTACAAATGATGAAGGTCTTGTCAGAAGGGCGATGGGGTCACCTATTTGTTCAGTACAAATGATGAAGGTCTTGTCGGAAGGGCGATGGTGTCACCTATTTGTTCAGTACAAATGATGAAGGTCTTGTCGGAAGGGCGATGGTGTCACCTATTTGTTCAGTACAAATGATGAAGGTCTTGTCGGAAGGGCGATGGGGTCACCTATTTGTAATTGCTTGTTACCCTGATGGCCTGGCAAAAGCTATTTACTCTTATAACACGGGTGTAAAATGATCTGATCATGCACACACTGAAGTTGAGAGAGCTCAAATACACAAAAGTCAGAAGGGACGCGTGCAGTCTGAACGAAATGTGAACAGTTGGGACTTGTAGTGTGATCATTAGGGCTGGGACGGGTAACTCCGCTACTTGGGTCGGTTGGGTACTGAGTACGACCCCGGTACCCACAGGACAACCCGGACCCGTGGTTAGTCACATGATTATATTGTTTAATGGCAAAAGTTATCTAGAACTCTATGGTTCCACTATAAGTGACAAATGTTCACATCTCTTTCTGCACACATTCCTTCTGAGTTGATATGTTTGAATATAGATAAAACTTCAGTCAACTTCAGTGTATGCATGAGCTGATCGGTTATACGTGTATCTAAATACATTTTGACAGTACAGTCACACGTTTCCCAATGCGACATTTGTACCTATCTTTTGAGACCTACAGTGGGTACCGGGTTAGGGTCGGGTAATGGGGGGATGGGTACCCAGGTAGTAAATTTGGACTCGTCCCAGCCCTAGGTAGGTAATCATGGAGTTTCATTGTTACTGTCATTAGACAATATATCACATGACTAACTACCAGGGTCTGGGTATTTCTGTGGGTACTACTCAGGTGGTGGTGGAATGGGGTTTAACGTCGCGTCCAAGATTATTGCACTTATATATAGCGACGTGCATGTACGTGTGTGTGTGTTTGTGTGGCTGCTTGTACTAGTCTGGACTGATCCCGATTTATAGTGCTAGCCCACTGAGATACCATGCCGCAGTTTAACATGAATACCCCACTCAGACACAGTATACTGACTCCGAGCCGACCAGTCCTTGTTTTAGCCCCTTAATGCCGAGCGCCAGACAGGGTAACAACAAGTACCATCTTTTAACGTCTTTTGGTATGACGCGGCCGGGGATCGAACCCCGGACCTTCCACTCTCCGGGCGGACGCTCTACCATTAGACCACGGAGGTGGTCGGTACTACTCAGGACCAACCTGACCCGAGGCCCCGAGTTGCACGCCCAGCGCTAACACAAATACTTCTGAAGTTGTCAGTTCAGTTGACAGGATATCATAACACAACATGTTGCAGTGTTTATTAATTATTTAGGCTATTTCCTTTCAGATCACTTTTGTCATGTGTTTCATAAACATGTATATTTCATGAAATGTACATGGTGTCCATTTCAGATGGGAGCAGATCAGAGGATTCTAATAATAACAACAGTCTAAACGCTGTATTAAAACCAGTCAAACCAAAACCTGAAATTCCCAAACTACCTAATGTGAAAAAAGAAGAGCAAAGCTCTTCTGTTTCCAGCATTAGCAGTAGATTTGGAGGCGTTAAGGCAGTGCTTAGCGATATGAATTCGAAGCCAGATATTGCATCCAAACCAAAACCACCCTCTAAAATGAAAGACAAACAAGAAAGTGGGGTGAAGACTGTCACTCTTCCAAAGGTTTGAGTTGAATGTGTTGACATGAGTTATCCCCCTTTAAGTTATCTCCCTTAGTCTTGGGGAAATTGAATACTGTTTTAAAGTAACATACTTTTTGAGAGAAAAGGAATCATGTTGAATGAGAATGAAAATTCCTACAGAACTTGTATGGATGATAAAATCAATGAATTTAGAGGATATAATGACAAATAATTGTGTTGTCTTTTCTGTGTTATTCAAATTCCCTGTTTCAGTTAAAACAGTCAAAGGGAGATAACTCTGTATGAATGACTCCTGATGGACAATGGGCATGTTATTGCTTAAACTAACAACAACTTGCACCTGTGTATCACATGACATGAGAACACTTTAGAAAGTATTAACAATGCATTAGGTAACAAATACAAATGTCAAGTTGAAACTTGAGAGGGAAATAAATCAAATTATGTTGCAAAGAAAGTGTCGATAGTTCCAAATTTAAACACTTAGTATTTTAATTGTTAATATTTAAGATACTGTCTTTCTTTGATAAACATACAGTTTGTGAAAACACAGTCATTACAATAAGATTTTTTACTCTCTGTAAAAGATTGAGAACACCCCAACTGGAAGTTTGACCTGTGAAGGTCCAGTTTAGCATTGATCTTAAGCTACCTACTAACGGGATTGGGTGGTTAGGCTTGCTGACTCAGTTAATGCATGTCAACATATCCCGACTGTGTAGATGCTCGTGATATCAGTCAGTGGATTGTGTGGCCCAGACTTGATAATTTACAGACTGCCCTCATTTATCGGAAATGTTGCTGAGTGTGGCAGTAAACAAATAAACAAACAAACAAATAAACAAAACTTTTTTGTTGGAGTAGCCCATAGTCCTTGCCCCTCTGCCGTGAATTTAGAGTGACTTTTTGTCTCATTATTAGGATAAATTGTTAGATTATAAATCTCTCTAATACACACTAGTTCCAGGATCTTGGTGCACTGGGATATTTTTTCATATCTAGAAATGGATTATTCATTGCAATCAATTTTTAACTGAGAACAGTGCTGGAAAGGTTCTTTTGTTTCAATTCACACAATACCGCGTAATAAATGTATTTGTTTCATATCACGTAGAATCCAGATAAAAGTAATGCTCTTTTTCCTCAAATGTTACACTGTAACCTTTTAGACAAAAATAAATCCTTTTGTTCCATCAATTTAAGACTTTTAACATAAAGTGAAATTAAGATAAAAATATTTAAAAAAAGAATTCCTTTCTGAAACTAACTGGACATTTTAGCATGAAAAAACCACTCATTTACAATAAAATAAATTGAATTAATCTATTTTTTTATCAATTGTGGTAAAAAAGGCAAATATTAGAAACTCATTACAAAAGAGAAATTTCTGCAGCTATTTGATGTTTTTGCTAGAAATATTGCAAGGGTTTGAATATGGTTTGGTCTAGTTACGTTGGAAATTGGAATCCATCAATCGTGAGCTTTCACCCCCTGCCTTGTAAGCCATTCCGTACGTTCAACCTCCTCAGCTTTTAAACCCCAACCAACGTGTTTGACCTCTTGTTTGTTTCAGCTCCTCCCAACCCTTGCATGTTGATGACAAGTTGTTGCTTTGTGTGTTTCTCATGCATGTTTGCAGATTGATGTCTATTTCAGACTTGTTGCAACTTATGCGGAAACATGTTTTATATTGGTAGATACCGTATTCGACGTAATAAGCGCCCAGGGCGCTCTCAAAATTAGAAATAGGGGGTTCGTATTAGAACATTATTTTGGTGAAAAAAAAGTTGAAAGATAAATATCGCGGTTTATGCTGACAGCCTGAAATGTTTATGTAAGACAGATATATTTTTCCAGAATTCTATTGCCCATAATTAAGGGTGCATATAACACACGAATGCGTATTATTCGCGAAAACATAAGTCTTGTGTACATTGATCAATCAGAAGGGGTGCCAATTTGGATTGTTCATTTGCCAGTATATTAGCAAATATCGCCGTGGGCGCTTATTAGAACGGGGCGCTTATTACGTCGAATACGGTATTCCAAGCAATATTGACATTGTTTTCACACATGATGGACAGAAATTAATCAATTTCAGAGCTCAAATCTAAGTTAAAACCTACTAAAGGATCTTCAAATAAGGAAGAAAAGATTAAGGAAGAAAAGGTTGAATCCCAAAATGGTAGTGGACCCCCCCTCCCCCCTCGACCTCCTGAGCAAGTGACCCCTGAGGAAAAACAACCGGTATGACCAATATGTGAAATAGACGTGATATTTTGACATTTGATAAACTTTACCAAGCTAATACTGTGTTAATTACTAGTAACAAAGTGCACTTCTTTGGTATTAAAATCTTTTTCACATTATTAACACTTTTTATTTTTTTGCTGATTAAAACAGATTAATTATTACTTATTCAATAACAATCACAACATTCTTATATGTCAGGGGCACAGGTGACCCAGTTGTCTCAGGCGCTGCAATTCGCTGTGCAGAGTTGCGTCCCTTGGGCACGCCAGAAGCCTATGATTGTGGGTTCGAATACTGGTTCGCCCCGATTATGTTTCTAGGTTTGTCAGCACCATACCCGTGCTCGTGGGTTTCACCAAAGTGTTAAATGTTGGCGACTTGCATCACTTCGGGCTTTCCTTCTATTATTTTTAGGCTGACACACTGTGATATAACTTGAGTACTGTTCATAACGGTGTTAAACGCAACTCACTCACTCACTCTCTCACTTACATGTCATCTTTCATATGAATCCAAGGATTCTCCTATTTCTTTGGGAAAATAGTCTATATTGGATATATTTTTTTTTTATTAAAGATTAAACCTACTTCACCGACTCGAAAGGTGAGATCCCTGTAACGGGTGTATTTTCCTTACGTAGACTTCATGACATACTTGTTGAAAATTTCTGCTGATAACTTGAGCTTGTTTCCTGCAAAATGTTCAAGAAAAGTTTTTGCCAAAGTGGTTCACGTCGTTCCCACACTTCTGGATAGTTGTTAGGTATATAGTATTCCATTTAGTTAGGAGAAAGATATCATGTGTTTATTGAGTATGAGATGTTTCTCAACAGTGTTAAATACAATAGTTTTTGGCATTTTTCTGCAGCACTTTTTTCAATATTTATGAAAATTGCTGTTAGTAAGATATTCAGTGTTGAGTGAAATGATACCAGAAATGGATTGATAAACGCCACAAACATCCATGACAGACAAGTATCACTGTTTGCAGAATCTGAGTACAATCCACCAAATCAAGGCTTGGAGTGTTCAGATTTTCAGCAGAGAGATCTTTTATCGGAGTGAAAGATCAAATTTTAATGAGAAAAATGTCTGTTTCAACATATTCAGGAACCTCATGATTCAAATTTTGAATTAATATTGTCATATAACTTAGAGACCAGTGGAAAAGTATCCCTAATTATCTTTTTATGAAACATAACAGAGATAGGAATGTATGTTTTGTCAAGTGTACCACAGGCCACTCAAGGAGATGTTTAAGGGTGCCCTCTAGGGTTCAGGATTCCTCTACAATAATAGCTTTCTTCTGTTGTTGAACTCAGTGCATGAATTGTTTAGGCATTACTTAGAAGTTGACAGATGACAAAATAGAGACAATTTATGGATAACATCTTTATTTACTGTAAAGGCGCATTTCGGTATGGATCCTTATACCGTTGTAAAGCAAGACCTTCAATAAAAAAGTAGTTGTCCATAAATTGTCTCTATATTGTCAACTCAGTGACTGTCACTTCACCAAGGCTAGAAATTTGTCCCCTTCCCTTTTCATTGAGATTGATAATCATGATGATACCGTTTTCATTTCGAAATATTCAAATTTAGTTTCTGCATCATTTGCGTGTTCACATGTTATCTTTCCATGTGTCCTGTTTATTTGTGGTTTCATAGAAACATTGTCACAAGGTAATGCGCTTAACAAATAGCATTTCTAGATATGCCCTTCAGGCGCCAGGAACATATTTTAACGGTCCCATTGCAATTTAAGAATGTCACTAAAATACAAAGGAACTTCGAGACCCTGCGTGTTGATCCAAATATGTTTATCATTACTGCAGCATGGAATAAGTACGTTTTAGCTTAACAGGTAATGTTAGTTCATTAAGCATGAGAGTGGGCTGTTGTTTGTGGGAGGTGATTGCTACATTCAACCTGTCTCCCGCTCCCTGGCTGATGGTGACTAACCCGTACATGTATAATGTGGTGATGGCTTCAATACATCCTGCATGGCTTCACAACTCTATATTGCTTGTGTATACTTCTAATGCAAACTGTTTAGTTGCTTTTCTCTTTAAACGTATTTACTGTATTCCATATATTAAGCACTCGGCACATAAGGGACCATATAATATTCAAAGGCTGGTATTTTTTATCAAAAATATTTATTTCCCAAATAATGAAAAAGTAATTTTACCTCAGGTATTCCGAAAGGAATAGATGTTTTTTGATTTTCTGATTTTCTGATTTTTTTTGCTATGTATTACCTTTTTTTGTTTGTTTTTTTCTTTTTCAAAATATTGGGTGCTTAAGGGATCAGTGCTTAGTAAGTGAAATACGGTATTTGTTGTTTATTTATTAAATCCTTATGAATCTGTTAACAAGTAAATGTAATATTTTGAGAACTGATTCCTGTTATTTCAAACTGATGGTTCAATATGGTTTATGTATTGTGTATTCAGGCACAGTAGGTCTCTAGTAACCAATGCTTGTTGTTAGAGCCCACTGAAAGTTGTTAAGTGGTCAGGGCTGTGATTTGGCTGATTGCGTGTCATTGTGCCCTGATGGCCTGAGTTGTTGCTCATGCTTTCAGTCACTGGTTTGCCTGGTCCAGACTTGTTTATATGCTGGCGGCCATACTATGAGCACACGATGCCTTTTAGAAAGTGGTCAAATGTAACAAAATGTTCTTTTTTGGATAACAATACAGATTTTAGTAGTTTTTTGGGTTTAGTCCTGTAAAGAAGTCGTTCATCCATATATCTTATCCCTACTTAGTCCTCCAGCTTATCATGCCTCTCAAAGAACTTATAAAAGCCCAAGGCTATTATTATTATTATTATTATTATTATTACTAGTAATAGTAGTAGTAGTAGTAGTAGTATTTCAAAATTTCAATAAGGTACCACATCTTTAAATTTGAGATAACAGGAATCGTATCATGGAATACTTTCATCAGTAGTTATTTTATCTTTAATAACTTTTACCACATGTTTCAAGGGTAAGACTGATGATAACTATGCTCAACGCCAAAAGAAACGCGATTACCATACAGGTTAATATATGAAGAATTACTCATATTCAAGAGATATTAAATTGGTTCGATACACAAACGAACATACTGTCATGTTGTGGGAACCGACGCTCATAAACGTATCACATGGCACATCATAGTTCCATGACTCGAGATGCACCATTTGTCTCGTGTAGGATTAGCATGTGAAGTTCAGGAATCACATGCAGCATTTCGTGATAAGAATAAAGACACTGTGTGGTAACACTTGACTGACTGTCAGTTTTGTCATTAAGTGGTACACATTGGAAACATCTCTTCTTAACATATTTATTTCTCTATATGTTTGTATGGTTTCTTTTGGTGGTGAGTATATATCAAGACATCCACTCTACGTAAGACACACTAATTACTGTATCAGAAAGCCAGGTTTCTGAAATCAAAATTTCAACGGAGTTTATAAAAATGATTTGGCTTGTCATATGAACTCTGATGGTTTTGCAAGCATTTCATCTGGAAAATATGTTCTCAGCTGACCCCTCCAACCCCTCCGACACCTACTGTCGAGGTCGTCTCACTGATCCCGAGTTATGATGATGATGATGATGGAGAAATATATGATGATGCACAGACTGTAGATCTGGTAAGTCTTGTGATGTGTAGTATCTCCTGAATATATATGTATATATCACCGTGCCTTCTGAAGACTGGGATACATATGACAATGTTTAGTGAAGAATACAATAAACATGACAATGCCTACTAAAGAATAGGATACATATGACAATGCCTACTGAAGAATGCAATACATATGACAATGCCTACTGAAGAATAGGATACACATGACAATGCCTACTGAAGAATAGGATACACATGACAATGCCTACTGAAGAATAGGATACACATGACAATGCCTACTGAAGAATAGGATACACATGACAATGCCTACTGAAGAATAGGATATACATGACAATGCCTACTGAAGAATAGGATACACATGACAATGCCTACTGAAGAATAGGATACACATGACAATGCCTACTGAAGAATAGGATACACATGACAATGCCTACTGAAGAATAGGATACACATGACAATGCCTACTGAAGAATAGGATACACATGACAATGCCTACTGAAGAATAGGATATACATGACAATGCCTACTGAAGAATAGGATACACATGACAATGCCTACTGAAGAATAGGATATACATGACAATGCCTACTGAAGAATAGGATACACATGACAATGCCTACTGAAGAAAAGGATACACATGACAATGCCTACTAATGAATGTGACAAATATGACAGTAGTATGTATTTTGTGTCTCCAAATATAAAATCAATAATTAATGCGAAAGAAAAAGAAACACTTTTTGCCGGGACTGCTTTTAATGTACCTCATGTTATTACCTGTTAATTGTCATAAATATCAACGTCACAGGTCACGTGAGATAAACGTGTCTTTTGACAAGGAAAGACAGATATCCTCTTTACTGAGTCCTAAAACTATGATTCCTATAACAATGAGTGTTGAGAGTACTACAAGCTGGGGTGCAGACCACCATCTGTACCAGGCCTCAGCACAGCATCTTATACAGGACATTATAGAAATGAAGAATTGGTGCCAGTTGAGGTATATGGCATCTGTAATGAAAACATGTTGTTTGCAGGACCCGTTGTCGAAGTACGAGTGGTATCATGGGAAGACAAATCGTGCAGATGGGAATGCAAGACTTAAAGGCGTGGGAAAGGTAACTGAAGTTTTGCTTCTATTTTTTTGTTTTGTTTGTTGTTTTCGCCGCACTTGGCAATGTTCCAGTTATATGACTGTTGTAAATATTCGAGTGTGGGCCAGACTCAATGCTGTCGGTGTGTGAAGAAACGTAACCAACCAACTCACCGAGCCTCCATTTGCTGGGGACCTATTGTAACTAGAATCCCGGCCGGGGGAGGGTGTGACAGAATGTTTTCAGTGACTGTTTCAAGAAATACCATGTCGATGAAAGAAGCAGAATAATCTAGTGTCAGGATGTGCATCTTGTCCAACCAATAATGGTTCTGGTGCAAAACTTGAGCTAATTTCCTCCCCCCTCACTTGTGTTTTCTAGAACAAATTTAAAAAAAAAAAAATCCCCTGTTGCCATGTCCAAGTACTCCATTATGTAAAACAAGAGGCTAGTTCCCCTAGTATTTTCTGGACCCAATGCTTTTTTCCGGGAGGTCCTATGTTAATAAATACTCTATTATGTTCTGTACCCTAAGTGATATACATGACACATTGGTAGTTACCTCTTTCTTTGTATTTTTCTAAAGTAACAAAACCCTTTCCATAATCAGAGTGAGTGAGTGAGTGAGTTGGGTTTAACGCCGCTTTTAACAATATTCCAGTTATATCGTGGCGTGCCAGCTTAATGTGGGAGGAAAGCCTGAAGTGATGCAGGTCTTAGACGTTTACCACTTCGGTGAAACCCATGAGCAAGGGTATGGTGCTGACAAACCTAGAAACATAATCAGGGCGAATGGGGATTCGAACCCACAATCATAGGTTTCTGGCGTGCCCAAGGGAAGCAACTCTGCACAGCGAATCGCGGTGCCTTAGACGACAGGGCCACCCATGCCCCCTCCATAATCAGAAAATACATATAAAGCATCAGACAATATCTAGTCTCAATTATCCACGGAAACAGATTCCATTGGGCTTAAAAGGCAAATAGTGGTAAAAATAATGGATCACTGAAAATCAGTGATGTCACCAGGTGTTTGTGAAAAGAAAACTCCATTCTACGATATCCTGCCCCACTGGTGGCATTCATCACAAACACATGCAAGGGCTAGTCAACCATTGATCTAAACCAGCATCTATAGTTTATGACAACATAACAGTGACAGTGATATAACCGATGTATTTCATGTGCTGCTAGGATGGAACGTTCTTGGTGAGAGTAAGTGATAAGGACCCAAAGCAGCCATACACAATGCAAGTGCTGTTTGAAGACCGGGTCAACAATCTCAAAGTTCGACTAAGAGATGACAAACGCTTTGCACTTGGGGAGTCCAAGCCAAATGAAATTGTAAGTAGAAAAATTCTTATAAACTTGTCTTACACTCGAATGCCTGCTTCTGTTGTTAAAGGTAGGCACACCAATGAAGCTGGTTGATTGGTAAAACAATTGAGGATAATAGGGACTGTCTAGCAGGCAAGTGAGCTGACTAGGTTCTCCCGAGTTTTGAATGAAGAGTGAGTGAGTGAGATGGTTTTACGCCGCTTCCAGCAATATTCTAGCAATATCACGGCGGGGGACACCAGAAATGGGCTTCACACATTGTACCCATGTCGGGAACTGAACCCGCGTCTTCAGCTTGATGAGGGAACGCTTTAACCACAAGGCTACCCGACCGCCCCTTTGAATGAAGAAGTGAGCTAAGTTCTGTTTCATTAATGATATTCACTCAGTTGTGGTGTATAAGCTTGACGCTTAGAATTCATCTTCCTGTCATTATGGCTAATGTTCAGCTTGACGTATGGATTATTTTGAATAGATGTGGTAGTTGTAATTTAGTTTTTGAAGTATACAAGTATCTTATCAACCATTGGCGCAGAAACAGAGTCCACTGGACTTGCTGAAGGTGCATATAAATAAAAACTCCCTATCTGTCCATGTTGATTTCTTATTTGAAATAATGATTAGGGGCCATCACTTCATATAGCCTTGACATGATCAGCAGGCTTGTAACAACAGTTTTTGTTTGTTTGTTGGTTTGTTGTTTAATGCCACACACAGAAATATTCCAGTTATATGATGGCGTCTGTAAATAATCGAGTCTGGACTAGACAATCCAGTGATTGATATCATGAGCATCTACCTACACAATTGGGGTATGATGACATTCATGAACCAAGTCAGCAAGCCTGACCACCTGACCCTGTTAGTCGCCTTTTACGACAAGCATAGTCACCTGTTACGGAAAGCATGGGTTGCTGAAGACCTATTCTACGCGGGATCATCACGGGTCAATCGAAGTACGGAAGAAGGTCGTATGAGTCCGACCATTTGCTATTTGGGAGGAGGTGGGGTTGGGATTTTATCGAAAAAAAAAAATTGTCCAAGAACATTCTTGAAGAAATAATTATCCCTCAGACTGTTAAAAAAAGAGAAATTGTGTTTTACAAAAACCTACATGGTTGCAATGTGTGAAGCCCCCCACCCACCCACCCACTCACTCACTCACTCACTCACTCTCTTATGACAAGCATAGTCGCCTGTTATGGCAAGCATGGCTTGCTGAAGACCTATTCTACCCCGGGTCCTCACAGGTTGTAACAACAGTGGCATGAGTAAGTAACCGTTATGTGCCGGCACAGCGGTAGTAAACAGAACACATATGGCCATTTTGCTGTGCGGTTGCTTGGTATTGTATTCAACATCTTTGTGGTTGCTCTATGCATTGCATCAGTGGTAAGGTAACCACCAAGCATTTGCAGGCATTTGTATATTCATCTTCCCATGGCAAGGGAGTGAACTGACTGTGAAAGTCCAGTTTCCACCCTTATCGAACTAGGCTGGAATTTCTGGGCTCGATCATAGAGTCAACAATGGCTATTACGAGTTATGTCTGTTTTATTTCTCTCCTATTGACCAATCAGATTCCAGCTCTCATATCACTTGCTTCAAAGAAAATGGTGGCGCCCAGTCAAGACAATCTGATCTATAATCAATATATATATTGGGATAAAATGGGTCTTACATCGTGAAGTGCATCAAATCATGTGAGCACCCTGATTAAAAACTTGAAAAAATTGGGAAAATATCTGTTGGCTTCTAGTTGGCAGTACACCTGCTTTGCAAATCCTGCAATTGACCAAAATCTGCACAACAGTTTCAAACTGGATGTCTATTTCGTTATGCGAGTTTGTTTGGACTATGGACTCGTTAGTCCAGCCACAATAAAAGTCCATAATAGCAGCCTGGTTTGGCAAGGGTGGAAACTAGACTTTTAAAGTCAGTTAACTGCCTTGCCTCAGGAAGATGAGGTATATTTATTTGGTGCCACTCCTTCAAACCATACAATATTTCAAGCTGTACAATATTTTGATCACAACAATTTTTTTCACGCCACACCAGTATGTCCAACAAACTGATTTTTCACAGGCTCCCTAAGAATGTCAACGATCTGTCAAAGTTCTCATTCTGACAAAGAATTTCATTGTTTTATTCCACAGACATTCAAAGATGTGCCTGGTATAGTCACCCACCACAAAGTACATCCAGTTCTGCTGATTGGCACACAACAAGGGGAGATCACTCTCAGGGAAACACCCAAGAAAAACTAGGACAATATGTGAAGGGACATCACTCTCATTGCTTCCCGGGTTAATCTTTACAAAGAAATTGCAAGCAACTATATAATTGATCATCATGAAGCAACACAAGAATACAAATGATGTTGAACACTATGTGATATGTCATTAATGATCATGTATTGAAAGGAATTGGTCTTTTAAGCTTTAAGACATAAATTAGGACATGTTAAGAAAAATTTGTTCTGTAATACAGATATGGAATGGCTTTGAACGAGTTAGGAAGTATTTATTGGAGTCCAGTCCTGTTTATATTACTTGCATGTTATTGCTTGTTGAGTGCTATTGTTTGTTTTTGTGTGTAAAACATATGTATATTTGTACTGTGAAGTCCCAGTGAACTTTTTGTTATGACTGGATCAATTGTCAATCATGTTTTCACTTAACTCAGATTGTTATCAATGCAAACATAATCTCAGTTCATTATGAAAACCACATCCTGGTAGTCACAATGTCAGTGGAACACATCAACGCTGGGGAATAAACAGTTGCGATTACCTGCTGAAACAGTGGCATAAAAGTCAAAATGGTGGTGAATTTTATCGTGAAAATCATTTTCGATATTTTTTGCTGCATCATCAATATGATCATGATAAGAAGTAAATACCCAGAAACATCAACAGGGCAGACTTACCCCATATGTTTAACAACTGGTATGACTCTGTTTTCATGACACTATCAACTGTTGTGTATCGGGGGTGCATTAATGATACGTTTAGAGTCAATCCATTGCTGAGAGTAGTTCAGTGGAAAAACATCATAATATATTCCAATTGACAAATTTCAGACATTTTACTTCTTATAAGAAAGTCAATTTCTGTAAAATAGAATAATTCCTTCAAATATTTCATGAATTGTCTCTTAAAGGGAGAGGTCATTGACCGTTAAGAAGCTTTGTTTGTGAAGAGTAGCTTTACCCCCGAGTGTACTCAGCCTCGCTCGCCTTATTCCGTTTCTGCTCCAGTGACCACACCGGTGTAGGCTTATCGTGTGACCAGACGTTTCTGCTCCAGTGACCACACCGGTGTAGGCTGATCGTGTGACCAGACGTTTCTGCTCCAGTGACCACACCGGTGTAGGCTGATCGTGTGACCAGACGTTTCTGCTCCAGTGACCACACCGGTGTAGGCTGATCGTGTGACCAGACGTTTCTGCTCCAGTGACCACACCGGTGTAGGCTTATCGGGTGACCAGACGTTTCTGCTCCAGTGACCACACCGGTGTAGGCTTATCGGGTGACCAGACTCTTCTCCTGTTTGTAAATAGTGCACTTATTCTGAAATAAGAACAAACAGACCTAATGCAAGCCTTTTGTTTCGCTATACATATTGTTTTGCATAAGTATATAGATATACTACTACAACTGCGACGGTGAGGTGCATGACAATATAGTTTTACACTTCAAAGTGACTGTATCGCTAGCTCTCCGTTGGGCTTCGTGACAGGACATGGAGGATTAAGACGCAAATGGAAATGAGTTGTTCACGTTTTAGGATATTTCCTCATTAGAAGTTCAACTTTTCATGACTTATGTTTATGTACATGTGCACACTCATCCAAAATGAAATAAATGAAAAACAAATGAATGGTCGGTGTAAGATGTGACGATGTGACGGGGAACTTGGCTGTCAGCAAGGAACCCTGGGGAGGAGAGTGATTGGCTTCACACGACCGAGGCATATTTATATTGTAATCCAGGCCTTGATAAACACTGGCTTCTAATATTATCAAGCTGGAAGTTGGTATTTTGTAACTCATCCGAAAGACAAACAAAAGCTTTCTCTCCTGTTTGCATCTATTTAAACAAAACTGAAGCCATTTTACTCTGCACAGGGCTAGCTTGCCTTGTCAGTACTGTGCAGAGCTCTATTTTGGTTTTATGACGTCACACACAGACATCATTTCATGTACGATTTAAAAACACAGAACCGTCGATGTACTGTCCCTATAAATGTATAGACATCATTTCATGTACGATTTAAAAACACAGAACTGTCGATGTACTGTCCCTATATATGTATAGACATCATTTCATGTATGATTTAAAAACACAGAACCGTTGATGTACTGTCCCTATAAATGTTCTCGTTCATCATGATAAAAAGTATATTCATTAGCAGTCAAATATGATTAATTTTGACGCCAGTGGCTTAAACTGGAATGTCTTTGGTATTTGTGATAAAGCAATTGGGGAAATGAATGTTACATTTGATGTGTTGCTTGTGACACTGCAGTGTATACTCAGCACAAGTGTTAAAGGGTCACAAACCTAACACAGTGTTGTAGGAATACAGGAGGAGATGGGAGGGTTCAGGCAGGGTATGAAACTCCCAAAAAATTCAGCCAGACCACAGGACTGGCTAGCTGAAATACTTGCCAGCCCTGACCAAAACCTGCCTGCCCACTATAATCATATGTTTCTCAGGATAATTTAATTAAAAATATGAAAACTGATTGCTTGTAGCATAAGCGCATCGCTAAATGTTAGGTTGTCTAAAAGCTAACGGGATTTCTTTTTGGTTACATTTTATCATTCTTCTTTACATGTGAATTAATGCTTATCATCGGGAAATATTTAGAATATTTTCACCTATGAAATAAGACCCAACCGTCGGACAGGGGGATTTGAAAATCTGGCAGCCCGAATTGAAATCAACCCGTCTCGGACGGTCGGGCAGGCAGGTATTTCGAACGCTGGTTCAGGCAACTTGAATGGGCACACAGCCATGTGATGTTTTCGTTCACATTAAGACATTAAATGTCCCCCAATTGGAGCTTGTCACAACTATGATTTTTCGATACTCATGAATATTCATGTTTCGGTTCATAAATACTCTAAAGAACTTGAAGAAAACCTGATTCTTACATAATACTATGGTTATTCTGTCATGACCTTGAGGTGTTCTTTAACTTCTTTTGGCGCTCTACCGAAGACCTGCAGGGTAATACCAAGTTTCAAGTTTTCAACAGAAGCCTCAATAAATCCATGTTGGCGACCCTTCAATAAATGTGTTGAGTATTTCAGTCTTGTTAAAGTCTAATCTTTTACTCCAATACGATACCTCTCTGTCAAGGTCAGATGAACCATGAGTGAACTTTGACCTGATCGAAATGAAGGATGTGTGAGCCAATCAGATGTCAGCTTTTATTCAGGATTTCGGCTTCATTTCTTTACTACCTCCATTTAGAAAAATTTGTACAAATGAAAACCCACATGGAACACAAATATTCTCTCAGTCATACTCCATTTTGGGTGTGAGTGCCATTTTGCTTAAAAACAACAGAGTGTATAACATCCACAACAATGTCACTTCACAGCTTTCTTTATTAGCAGTCGGAACTTCCCGATTTTATTCATTTTTGTCTGAATACATTGCTCACTTGTATCTAGAATTTAGAAACCTGGGCACTGATTGGCTGACTAGAAAGTTCCCCTGACTCAACCTCCTATGGAGGTGTCCTCTGATCTTTACTCAGAGAGGTATCATATGGGAGCAAAAGATTTCATTTTAATGAGAAATAAAAGAGCATAAATCATCAAGTTACTTAAGACTGGGAAGCTTCAAGTCCATGGGACCAGCATTAACATTCTTAAAATATGAAGAATGACAGTATGACTGTGTCTTCCTATAACACAACACCAAGTAACATTACAGCTCAAACTTCACCATGTTTGTTGTCTTCTTCTCCCAAGTGTCCTTTGTTTAGATGTGCACACATGTACACAATATAACTGAATGCAATAATGTTTTATGCAAAATTATTTTTATGATCTTTTCTTCGACATTATTTCCAACAAATGGGATAATTTCATGTTTTACTTGTTATAATATTTTTAATGTTCAGGATTTTAGAAAGAGTGTCATTGTTATTGATGAAGAGGTGTGTGTGTGTGTGATATCGCCTGGTTTAATATGTGAAGAGTACTTAAGGGTGTCTGAGTTGTTTCTAGCTTATGCATAATTGTATATTTTGTTTCAAGGAAATGTAATGACCATCCTTTCAGTAATACTGTTCTGGTGATGCAGGTTGTCCACCTTGTTGACATGCAAAGTTAGTTTGGGATATGTTACCTCATTACAAATTCATAATATACTGATGGGAAGAAGTAAGGGAACAGATGAAAGGAAGTAATATTCATAGTTTACTATTTACACCCTTCACAAATTATGATTATCATCATGTGGTATGCTTTTGCTCAATTTCATCACGTGTTAATATGTGATCAAATTTGAAATATTAATTTTACTACATTACTTTTATATGATGTTAATAGCAACTTCTCATTCCATGAGTTTCAAATATTTTTATATTAAAAGGGTTTATGAATGAAATGGTTAATGTGAATAATTCCATTTAATATATTTGGTTTCTTTCATGCATGTGACAATTTTTATTTTATTTTTATAGCATTTTTTTAAAATGAGAAGGTATGAAGTGACAATGTCACACCATCCTCGGTTTTCCCCTGTCTTGTATCTACGTTCTATTATGATCAATACTTGGACCCCTTTTGTCTTCATTTTGAAAGGGGGCGGTCGGGTAGCCTAGTGGTTAAAGCGTTCGCTCGTCATGCAGAAGACTCTGGTTCGATTCTCGCCATGGGTACAATGTGTGAAGCCCATTTCTGGTGTCCCCCGCCGTGATATTGCTGGAATATTGCTAAAAGCGGCGTAAAACCATACTCACTCACTCATTTTGAAAGTGACGTCACCAGCTCCATCTCCCTTATGTGTTCATAACACAGAATTTCTCTCTCTTCTGAAACTGAAAACAACAACCAATCAAAATCTCTCTTCCTCTGACCTTGAGAAGATTTACATTCAAAATCACCACCCTATCAGGCCGAACCCTTGATGTATTAAAACGAATCACAAGACTGTTTTACATGATTTTTAGGAAAAGATTTTTTTCTCAGTATTAAGATGGTGAGGGAGTCTTTTGCTACAAGATGTTATGGTTGTATTTGCAAGGGTATGAAAAAGTCAAGACAAGAACTGGTGTCAGTGGTGATATGGCTAGTTGTTGGAATCATGGAAGGACAGTGTAATTTGATTGGATACCTACATTTGGTGTTGTGTCATTCAAACTGGTCCTGAAGCTAAGGTGGCATGTGGGTCCAGGATTTATATCATAATGAAATGGAGACAGTTGATAAACAAGAATGAAATAAACAGTGGAGAATAATCAAACAGATATTGACTAAACCTGTCACCTTGCCATACGTCTTCTAGTGGTTTGGTTTGGTTTGTTTTGGTTTGTTGTTTAATGCAGCACTCGGTAATGTTATAGCTTTATCATGGCGGTCTGTAAATAATCGAATCTGGACCAGACATTCCAGTGATTGACATCATGAGCATCGATCCACGCAATTGGGATATGATGACATGCATCAACCCAGTCAACGAGTCTGTCTGCCCGATCCTGTTAGTCGCCTCTTACAACAAGCATGGGTTGCTGAAGACCTATTCTACCCCAGGTCTTCACGGGTCTCCTCTAGTAGAAGAGGACATATATTATGGTACATTACAAACCCCTCCCTACTTTAGATTTGATGTATTATTTAGGTTAGCTCCTGCACCATGAGGTACTTGATCAAATATAGAATTCTTGTACTGTGCAGAGTGTTTAGAGTGAGACCCTGTTTGTTCAGAAACCCCTTCTGATGGACAGTGTTTAATGACTTTATTGGACTTTAAATCTGGGAAGCTTTGTTTCTGAATCTGCACACTCAATGACTCCTACAAAGTAAGACATTTGGTACCTGTGCTAGAATTGTTGCTTCAATGAATTCTACATTAATGTTTCACAAGACAAAACTCTGAATATGTATATGAAGTGAAATGCAAATATCAATATATGAAATGAAATGTGCATTGTATCACTAGAATGGAATTCTTGTTGCTGAGAGAGTTTCACAATGTATCTGATGTTATAGTAATGAAAGTCAGAGACCCAGAAAAGCATTCCAGTTTTATTTCATCTTTTAAAAACACACACAAAATATTTATCATGCCAGATGATCATGATAACATATGAAAATGTTTCATTTTCAGTTCATCATTCACCATTGTCATATATGATATGGAAGTTGTATAAATTGTATCAGAGTAACCAAAATTACTGATGAACTTATTTCTTCATCTAAAACTTTGTCTCAATTATCAATAATGGATGTCAAGAATAATGTTGTTTATTAAAATATATTCTGTATGAGATTCCACAAAGATGTACATATATGTGTATGTGCACATTTCATTGCATTCCGAAGAGAATATTATTAAATGAATAAATTCTTATTGACTATGTTTTAATGAACGTGAAATTCATGTTTCCTTTTAGACAATTTCATTGCATTCCCGAATATCATTTTATTGAATAAAACGATAATAAATATTGGATTTATTTTAATCAATCTGTAATTCAGTTATTTATTCAGCTGAACTGGGTTCAAGAGAGCTTGTGTTCTGGCCTGTTTGTTGTACGTCCATAGTCCGTCGTAAAATCTGTGTAATGTGTCCATAGTCCGTCGTAAAATCTCTGTGATGTGTCCATAGTCCGTCGTAAAATCTGTGTAATGTGTCCATAGTCCGTCGTAAAATCTGTGTAATGTGTCCATAGTCCGTCGTAAAATCTGTGTAATGCGTCCATAGTCCGTCGTAAAATCTGTGTAATGTGTCCATAGTCCGTCGTAAAATCTGTGTAATGTGTCCATAGTCCGTCGTAAAATCTGTGTAATGTGTCCATAGTCCGTCGTAAAATCTGTGTAATGCGTCCATAGTCCGTCGTAAAATCTGTGTAATGCGTCCATAGTCCGTCGTAAAATCTGTGTAATGCGTCCATAGTCCGTCGTAAAATCTGTGTAATGCGTCCATAGTCCGTCGTAAAATCTGTGTAATGCGTCCATAGTCCGTCGTAAAATCTGTGTAATGCGTGCAAAGTCCGTCGTAAAATCTGTGTAATGTGTCCATAGTCCGTCGTAAAATC